GTGTTGACGTTGCTTGAGCGTGGGAGACGTCTGCGAGCGCAGTGCAGCATCCACGCAGTCTTCGCTAACTACAACCCCGATTCGTGCCTTCTTTTAGGATTTGGGAGTTTAAAATTGAGTGGAATTTTTTCAGGCTCTACTGCAACGTCTGCGGCGCGAGAAGACGGAAGGGCAGTCGCAGCATGCTGCGCTTCAGGAGAGGCTCAGACAGGTCCTCAGGAGGGCCTTCAGACAGTCTTAAGCGTCTTGGCTTTTGTTTTTCATGAGTTGATTTGCAGCATGTGTGTAGTTTCCGCTTGGGGATTAGGGGTTGGGGTGAAGGGTGCTCGTGGTGTCTGTGCAGAGCGAGCACGACGTACTACTGCAGCGAGCGGCGCTGGACTCGACTCACGCATCCACCATATCGACTCTGCAGCAGCGGCTGCAGCAGCAACAACAAAAACAGAAGCTTGTGGCTGAGCTTAACCAGCACGCGCAGGTCTGCTGCTGTAGAGAAGGGTCGTAATTGCAGTGGGTGTTCTTCTGTGGTTCTGCTGCCATTCCTCGTGCTGCTTCGACGGCTGTTCTTGCGGTTGCTGTTGTTGTTGCTCGGTGGCGATCCCGTACCGCGAGTGCATGCGAACGCAGAGTAGTACAAGGGGGGGATTTTTGTCCGCAGGAGACTTGGGTAGCTCAGAAGATGCGAGGGCTCGAGGGTGGCTTTAACGTAGGAGGACGCAAAGGCCCCTCTGCTAGTGCGGGTGCTAGTGCTGCTGGTGGTTACTGGGGTATGACGGAAACGTCGCAACGGCGTGATCTTAAAGGGGTCCCTTCAGGGGGAGGTGGCGGTTTCTTTGTGTCCTCGGCGCATTCTTTCCCTGCTAATGATATGGTAGGTTGTCGGTGCTGCTGCTTCACGGGCAAGCACTATCGCCAGTTCGCTGAGCAGCAACAGCAAGGTTGTGGACGAACTGTCTTGCTTCTGGGTCCATACATGTGCATAGCCGTTCCTGGTTTCTTGCGCACTGTTTGGTGCTTTCGCTCTTGTTCCATTTACCAGCGCTGCTGTCGCTTTACTGACTGCGATGTTCAAAGCTGGAAGGTGCTGCTGCTGTTGCTGCAGGACGCGACGACCGCCCTCCCCCCTTCAAGTTGGAGGACCTTCAAGCCACCCATTGCATCCGAGCACTCGTTGTCTCGCAGCGGTGCAGCGGGGACGGCAGCCACAGCTCTAGGCATTACTGATTATCCTGTTGTTGCCTCTACTACGGAGGACAGTAGAGACCTCAGGAGGCATCTGGAGGGGCTGTCCGTTGATAGCGTCAAAAGCGATACAGCCTTTGTAGGCGTTGCTGCTGCTATGGCTGTTTGCTGTTGGCAGCTTTTTCGGAGTCCGCAACCCCAGGCCGCTGACAGTCTTGCGTCTTATACGTTTATTGGTGCTGAGTGCGCGTGTTCAACATTGGTACTGCTGGTGCTGCCGCAGGGAGATTATTCTCAGCTGGGAACTCGGCAGACTGATACCCATAAAAACGCCTTTGGCGAGCATCACATTTGTACGTGTGGGGTCTAGGGTTTCCCTGTATCACGCCTATGTTGCGATGTATCGCAAGCACAACAGTGAGCGCTGGTTGTTCTTGCTGTTGTCGCAGCTGCAGATGCTCGGAACCGGCGGTCTGCATCCAGAGACAGGCAGAAAAATGGGGAGATTACTCTTCTGCGGGAGGAGAAATCGAAAGGCCGGAAGCCTTCAGAGAAACCTGTAAGCCTCCGTACTGCTGGTGCTGGTGATGCTTAGCCTCTGTGGTGGAGGGTGGCTGGGGCATTCTCTCCAGGCTGCAACAGCGCGCAACTCCGGCAGCAGCTAAAAGTACGGTGCTGGTGTTGCAGCTCCTAAGCCTCCTTATTTCTTGCTGGATGTTATGGTCGTACAGCCTAATCGGGGAGGAGCCCTCTCACGACGCCGCGGGTCTGCTGGAATTGAGGACAGGGGCCCCCTCTCCGGAATAGAAACACCTTCCTTCGGTGCTCGTTCATAACTGCATAGGCGCAGCGATAGCAGCACCATTTGCTCCTCCCTTCACAGAGTACAGAAACACTGCACGCTAGCCAAAATTTTAAACAGTGCTGGTGACGGACGTAAATAGAGCTGTAGCAACGGCAGAACCTACCGCAGGTAGTTCAGAGCCCAGAGGCAGGCAGGTTGAGTACCCGTCTACGAAGCTTTTTCGGTTTGCGGCAAGAAGATAACACTTAATAGTGCTGACATTTCCCGCCTTCCTCCCCGCTAGTAGTCGGATATACCTCGGCTTAAAGGCTAAATCTAGCAGCGTGTCGGTGTTTGGACACCGAGAACATGCTGCCCTAGGTGAGTATGCATGCTACAGGGGATCATAGCTGTGCTCATCGAGGTAGCTCAATACTCGCGCGTGAGCGGTTATTGCCTGACGAGAGTCAAAGGCAATCCCCGCTTGCTGTGAGACAAGCCGGGCAGTTCCGGGATATCCAAGCGATCCAAATTTCTTATCGAATAGAACGGAGCTAGCCTTGGGGAGGACTTATGACGCCTAGAGAACTAACTGTGGCTACCCTTGGCTGCCTGGGATATGCATGTAAAAGGGCCATCTTGAGGATATCCAGGGAAGCCAACAGCATAGCCCTTAGACCCCGTATTTTGCGAGCATCCTACGCAGGGAGCTCGAATGCCCTAACGCTGGACAGGACTGCAGCAGGAGGTGGCAGTTGTTGTAGCAAGGGTGTACGTCTGCGCGTTATGCCCAACACCTTGAGGCATCGTTGGCGTACTGCAGAGGAAAGTGCCGATGTCTAAGAACCTCTCCGTGCATCTGCGGCTGTTCATGCAGCTAATATTTACTTTTTAATACTAGTATCTATGGAGTATTCCCTCTTTTTTCACATCCAATATGCGTAGCCCCCATGGAGGTGCTCGCCATCAAAGGGTCCGCCTAAGCACATACACTGCGATGGATACAGCCACTGCATTTGTGGTTTTTTAAGTTTCGAGCTAAGTGCCTTGCGTTCTCAGGCGTGCATTTGCCTGAATAGTGGGGTCACCCATGCAATGGTCTCGAAAACGGGTCTTTGCATGCATTGTAGCAGCAGCTGCAGCATCGGCGGCTGCGCAAGAGGTTCCATCCATTTGGCAGTCTCTACACCTAGAAGCACATGCAGCGTTTGTAATTTGTAGTTTTACTTCAAGACCAACACAAGGAGGACCTTCCGCCCTTTTGCTTGCTGCCGCAGTTGGGGCCCCCGTACGGATGATTGGGGGATTCTTCTGAGGTTTACATCGCCGCAGTAGCAACAGCTGCTGCTGTTGCAGAGGGAAGTGTCAGCTGTATGGACACCGGGTCCTGCCGCCACTGCCGCGCTCCGTGCAGCATCCCCCAGCTTGCGCTGCACAGACCCCCTACTCCATCCGTAGTGGTAAAGGCAGCAGAGTCGACAGCAATAGCAGCTACCCTCGCCCCCTAATTTTCAGCAGCCGCTGAACCGGCAGCAACTCTTCAATCAGCAGTAGTGTATACCAGGCGGAAGCTTCCATATCAGCGAAGGGAAGGACACAATGGTGAGGCCCATGAACTGCGCTCCGTAGCCACAGAAGTGCAGCCGGAAAAAAAGTGTTTTTCATGATATACGATATCTTTATTAACGTCTCTGCACCATTTGTTATCTCTGCATATTCCCCCTTTGGTATGCATTGGGTGACATACGCGCTGCCGCCGCCTCCTTCCTCTTCTCTCTCTCTCTCTGTCTCTCTCTCTCTTTCAATGGATTTCCTGACGCGCGTCCTTCTCCCTGCCACGTGGTACCTGTGGGTTGATGGATTTGGCGTCTCCTTTTGTCAGACGCTTAGAACGAGAGACGGATATACAACGGACGGTGTGCAGGCAGAGGGCTGGGTATTATAGTGTGTAGATACGCAAGATCTTCAGGGGAGGGGCGTGATGGTATATGACATTACTTACGGTGCAGTGCGAACCGCCTGCACTTGGATACAACCGTATGTACAGACACTGGAAGGGAAATGCCTACTTAGCTCGGTTTTTTTCCCTCATCTGTGTGCGCACTCGTCGAGGCAAGGGTCCCCGTGTCCTCTTGCTGACGATTTATTGCGGCATTTTTACACGAGAGGGCTACACTCCTCTTGTCCCCATGCATAGGCGCCTGAGGCTATGCGGCTATTTTTTGCCTTGAGACGTCAAACTTCCCGGGATCCAAGGTGTCTCTTGGTACCTCTATTCCTATTAGTCTCTGTTATCTCCGCTGCATGGTTCGCCTGCTCTGCTGCGGCCTTGTTTTCGTTTCGCAGTTCTACTTTGGCTTCTTTCAGAGGTTGACGGAGCGGAATTGCGAGATCATGGTGGAACTGAAGAATGACTTGCAGCTCACGGGAACTTTGCATTCTGTCGATCAGTTTTTGAATATCAAGCTAAACCAAGTTTCCGTTTCGGATCCGGACAGATGCCCTCACCTCGTAAGCCTGCCAAGTGGTGGCGAGCTTGAAATATATATTGTCATAAAAATACACGCCTACCCGCCAGCCGTGTACGTGTAAGGGTTCGAATACTGCGCTCTAAACAAGGGTGTGTAGTGCCTTTAGCTCCGAGCCGGTCTGTATTTCCTCTTGTACTGTGTATTGTGCTGCGCTTGCCCTAGTGCTGCTCTGGTCACCTGTGTACTGCTGCGTTTGCTGGTGTTGCTGCGACTGCATGTTTTTAGCTGTCCGTAAGGAGTTGCTTTATTCGTGGCTCGGCTGTTCGTTACGTCCATCTGCAACCTGCAGACGTCGACCTTGCAGCCCTGCGGGATCTCTGCAGGGAGGAAAATAGAGCAGCGCAGGAATCCAAACAGAAGGGCGCTTAAATAATGAACTGTTCTTAGCTTGGTGCTGCTCACCTTTTGCCAAATGTTGCCCTCTGGGTAGTGGGGCACCAGGCGGCGTGCCTGAGCAGCTGGGCAACATATTTTCTGCAACTGCAGGGAATAGCCCATACACCTGGTTCAAAGTGAGGATCTTTTGGTAGTTGATGAAGAACGATTATAGCCCTGCAATAGATGGCCAGTGCTAGATGGTATTTGCTGGTAGGACTAGCGCCAGATAGGCGTGGCGAAGTGGGTATTCAATGCATAGCTGCCCATGGATTGCAGAGCTTCTGCTTACTCAGTCCTTCAGACCACTGCTTGTGCTTCACCGATTACGGGCAGAGCCGATGTCGGCTCCCATTAGGTAGTGAGGTAAAAAGCAAAGAGAAATGTACCGGCGGTTGGTGCTGACATGCCTCCGCGCATTGCGGGTGTGAGGCAGCTTGCTGTCATTGTTACAAAATACACTTTGTCCGCGGAACTGTGCTTATTACTGTGCGCCTTCGGTGGTCACGTCTGCTGTTTAGATCGAGACGCGAAGAACTAGCTCTAGTTGAATCGACCGTTTTGCGGCCCTCAACGCTTCAAAGGGAATCTAAAGCCCCCAAACCTTTCTCTCGTCATGAAAGCAAGAAGCCACGGCTGATTACAGGGGTGATTTAGCTTGTCAAGGTAGTGTGCAAAACACTCCGAGTCCGGGAATTAAACCTGGGTCTTCCGCGTGACAGGCGGAAATACTAGCCACTATACTAACTCGGACGACATCATGCCTTTTTTTTCCTGTCGTTGACGCTCTCTTACTAGGTATACAGGTTGTTTACAGAATCTTGCAAAATTGTGCAATGTATCATCGCATGTGCCTATTTAAGGCCATTTCACCTGTGTTAAGAAGCCAGGTCCTACGGAAAGGGCATGCCAAAGATGACACCTTGGAGCTTTTAATTCTTTGTAGCAACTTCAGCACAGTCGCTGGTATGAAGTTTATGAATACCGCGAAATATGCAATGATCTGGAGTGGATCGAGCGTCGTTCGCCTATGCAGTTGCACACAACAGTGTGTATCTCGCACCAGGGGGGCAGGGACCGGTGAGACAGCAAAAGTATCGAAATATAACTTCCCCCGATGCTCCTATTGGAAGTGATATTGATGTGGCATCGTGGTAAAACCTAGGCCATGAATTGGTCTGAAGATACGCGGGTGCGGAGTGCACGAAGTTCACCGAGCATCTCCTGGCCATTATGCAGCCTGCTCTCTACAGGGCGACAAGGTTGAAAAGGCAAAACAAAGGAAAACCGAATATAAATAAAAATTGTTGCTATCCCCGGACCACGGCAATCAGTTGCTTTCAAAGATGCAAAAGCTCCGAGTCCGGGAATTGAACCCGGGTCTTCCGCGTGACAGGCGGAAATACTAGCCACTATACTAACTCGGACAGCTGAACAATGCAGTTAAACGGGCTCAGCCGAAATTCTAGATGCAGGCCGCTTAAATTCACCTGATCTTGATAGCAGTATAGGCAGTTAGAATGAAGGAATGTGTGTGGCTTCATGGGTGCGACTATTATGTCCGCCTTTAAGCAGGAAGCCATGATCATCGAGCAGGGCTTCCCTGGAAACGTTCCATAGATCAAGTGTGGCAATAAACATTAGCATAAACTCTGTTGACCTTTGCTATTCGCCTGTGGAACATAAAATGGTTTGTCTGACTTCTCGTCACCCAGCACTGAAAGACTGTTAAACTGTCGTACAACACGCAGGGCAAGGCGGCATAGGGCCCCGAGCCGAGCCCACTTGGTTCAAAGGACAGGGAACTATGCAGCAAACTGCGGAGCCCGGCAGTTTCCTGCACATAAAATATGGATTCCAACCCTATGGCACTTTCTCTGAGGATGCCCTCTATTCTCTCTACCGCACAGATGCACACATCACTAAAACGTAAGAAGAAATACGACTTCCGAGTTCAACAACTTGACCCCTGCCTTTCTGCGAGTCAGGCTCTCAGGCAGAGATACCATTTGTAACACCAACGTGGACCGCCGCATGGTCGGCTTTGTTAATTGAATGAGTGCTGCTCGGCAAGTTCCTTTTGCAGACGCACTTAAGCCTAAGGATACCATGCGGGTAGCTATCTGCACTAATGCTTCCACACCCTCAAGATCCTGTCTTTGGAGCCTGAAGCCGCGTGTGTGCCGGTGGGAGACCAGTCTACTGCATATACCTCATCTGCGTGCCCCGGCAAGTCATGCTTGAGCTTGCGAGAGGCGACGTCCCATACTTTCAGCGTGCTGTCCCCACTTCCTGAAAGCGCACTCAAAGCCACTCCACCCCGATTCTTATAAGCGCCATAATTTTGTCCGTTGCAACCAACCGCATGCACCCACCTCCCCATGCATGTCTGCATAGCATGCAACTCCTTCACCTTTTGGACTAGCTACGACGTAGCGCGCTGCTGACCTGAGAGGAGGAGGCGGCTATCCGCAGCCCAGGCCAGTTGGTAGACAGGCCCCACGTGACCTCTCAGAGTTGCGAGATACTGCCCGGTCGCTCCTTTCCACAGCCTGAACAAGCTCCAAAAGTTAGTTAGTTTTTATTCATACACGACATTTGGCAAAAGGGAAGGCGGTACCTACTGGCTCCTCCTAGGACTCTCGTTCCGCGCAGTCTCAAAAACGAAAGTACATGCCGCAGTCCATGAGTTCAAACGCACAACCACCTCTCGTACCGTATAGATTTGTCGAAGGATCCAGAGGCAATGGTCAGCCCATCAGGTGAGAAGCAAACCTGTGAACGTACATATGCAAAAATGCCAAAACGCAGAGATACCACTACTTGCCCATGGAGAGCCAAACCAAAACTCGAAACACCAAAGCTTTTAAGTTTCGTGCTTTACTCTTTTACGGCTGGCATGACACCCCGATCCTACGTCCCTACGCCTAAAACCTGAATCCTTACACAGTTGATTAGCTTTTGGTGGCCCGTCATTCGTCCAACCTCTTCGAATAAGCCGTTTCCCTTAATGCGACGAAGAATAAGCGTAGAGTCGTCGGAGCCCGAGAGCAGCGCCTCGTGACCACACTGAGTAGAAGTGCACATGCTAGGGGTTCTGAGCTTTGAGGGCTAGCATATCTGGGGTGACTTGCATTCTATGTGATCGTGCATGCTGTAGATATGCGCTGCCATAGTCAATGCAGACCGAGAAGTAAATAGAGGCACAGACACTGCAACACAGGGCCGCCGGCTTTTTGCTTTCGTCCACGTTTCTGTTGCAAGAAAGCAGAGGCTCATCAGACACACGCGATCCCAGTAGAGGGAAGCATAAGCCAAAACAACCAAGAGACACCATCCCGAGCTCACCTCCTTGAGGAACTGATCGAATTGACGTTGAGCCGCTTCTTTCATCTCTGAGTCAAAAAGCACAAAGCTGCGCCATGTACCATCTGAGGTAGAGGTTCGGAGTCACTTAGAAGGAAAATGCACAGTGAAAGAGGTTGTAAGTCTTTCCAGGAAATCCTGTGAGGCTCCTCTTTCTACGGAGGAAGCATGTTGGGGGCCAGCTCTTTGGTCATCCTTGCCTTCCCTTGATGCGTTATGAACCCTCTATGCATCAAAAAAACAAGCACGGAATTAGAAGTTTCTTGAAGCTTCTTCTAGTGTCAGTGGTGCAATTCTTACCAGCGAAAGAGGTGAAGGGCCGCTCAGTGCGACCACGAGGGTCAAAGGGACCCCTGCGCAGCACTGAGTCGGAGTTCAAAGCCAGCGTATTTACCCAATGTGCATGCCCTGCAGCACCACAGCAGCCGGCGTGGCACGAGGACGAGTAGCAGAAGGACCCTCTAAAGCTGTCCGCGCGTGCCGTGGTGTTTAGCAAAGGTTCTCACAGCACCGGGCATAACAGCGTCAGCAACAACAGGTGCAGTAGCAGTACCTTTTAGTTCTTTAACAAGAGTCCCTTTGTGCGGGTTCCAGACCTTCACTGTGGTGTCACGAGAGCCACTAATCAAGTAACCTGGAACGGTAAGGCGGCAGACAAGAAACTCGGACGAAGGGGCCCTCCACAAAGCTTGGGGTCAAGGCTCCGCGTTTTATGTCTAGCGCTAGCTCAAGCAGCGATTCGGGTGTTGGAGGCTTGGTTTCATGCGTGCCGGGACACATAAATAATAGCCTGCGTTCTGAGGAAGGGCCCAGCCTCGAACTGCGGGTAACCTTTCAGGGTTTCAGAAAACAACAACAGTACCTTCTGCGCCCCCCGACCACTTGATTTGCGTAACAGGCTGCGTGTGCAGCGCGAGAACACGCAGTGCTTGTTGCTGACCTACGCGCCAAAGACGCACAGTTCCATCCTAAGGAAAGCACACCCGAGCGCAACTGGAAACCCTGGTCGACGCAATTCCAAGTCTCGACTCCGCGGTGAATGATAAATCTGCCCGCATGAAGACACCAACTGGCGAAAACACACCAGACCAGTGCCCCTTTGATCAACTCACTTTGCTTCCGCTGGCGAGGAGCAGACTGGGAAGGGTAAAGCCCAAGCGTGTCTTCCACAGAGAAGAAGTGCGGGGCCTCGGGGGGCCCTTGGCTGCTGCTGACAACTGCTTCCCCTTTGCCTTGCAGTTTTTGTTACTGCTGCTGTTACTGCGTGTTGCCTCGCAGTCGTCCTTTCCGCCGCTCTGAGAGGCCTCCTGCTTAGCCGCTGGGACTGCTGTTGTGTCGGCTGTCGGAGAGTCCGCTACTGCTTCTGCCGCTACGTCCTCAGAAGACACCAGGTGCAGAGGCTGCCAGGCGAGAGAAACAACTGGCTGGGTATGCCCCTTGAGGGGAGGCCCCACAAGAGCCCCCGCGTCGGCATCCCATATGCACACCGTGCCGTCCTGCAAAGCGCCACACACCCTAACCGCTTACATCCAAAGCCCAGCAGAATTGCAGAGAACTGTGCCCTCTGCAAGGCCTGACAGCACGCGGCAGAAGGGGAGGCCACACGGATTGCTCAGCCATCGAAGCTCCGCGGCTCACCATTCCAGAAGAGGCGAAAAGCTGCCCATGAGAAGCCCACGACACACAGAGAACCCAGTTGCTGTGGCCTCTTAGTGTTTGCAAAGGAGTCTCCGTGTTCAAGTCCCACAGTCGGACCTGATAGCAACGCATGCACCCCAACACGCGAAAGGTCAAACTCCAGCTCCTAGACGCGAGTACACGCCTCGCGTGTGCCCTCTGTAAGGCCTACCAGCACGCATGCCAAGGTGGAGAGAGAGGAGACTTCGACACGGCCAAGCAACCAATGAACTAGCAAATCGCCACTGCAAGGCAGACGGCAGATGTGTCTCCCGAGCTCTCCTCTGCCCATCCAGTAAAAAGACAACCCCCCTAGTCTCTACCTGCGCGTCCTGCTGGCAAGATCTGATGAGGCCGCAGCGGGAAGCCGAAATAAGCGCACTGCCAATCAAAAAATAGCCCCCCGTTCCTACCCATTCCTCCCACGTAAGCTGTACACGTTGGAGCCTGAGCTCTCAGCGAGCCTGGAAAAGCCTTACTGAGGTGTCGCCTCCGCCTGTTGCTAAGCGCTTTCCCTCCGGGCTGAAAGCAGCGGCCAAAATCGCCTCCTCATGCCCTGAGTTCACTCAAACTGTATTCACTCTCCTCCCTGATAGGGCGCATGCATGCAAGTTCCCGGCACTTTTAGAAGCGCGGTATCTGCCGTCTTACCGCCGAAGTTTCCAGCCATAGCAAACGCGGGCAGAAGCATGCTAAAGCTGTTTCTTCGGAGAACTCGTGAAGGGCAGGGAGCTTTGGTGAAGCCGTCAGACGCAACAGAGCCCAGTCCTGGCTTGCGCGATAGGTGGCATAGGGCCCTTTGCGAATTGGGGAAGAAGGAAGCTCAGCGTGTCAGCAAAAGGAGGGGTTCGTAGAGTCACCTGGGAGGGCAGAAGAGCATCGCGTCAGAGGGCTGACTCGGAAGGCGGCTAGGGGAGAGAAGGAGACCCGCAAGACTTCCTCCGCTCCCTTAGCATCGCTTGCGGCGAATGCAGCGCCGAGTGTTTCCGTAATCTCCGTGCTGGCGCTGCTGGCGTTGCTGCCACTGCTGCTGCTGCTGCTGCCAAGGGAGAGGGAAAAGCGGCGCCCCTCAAGAGCAGCGAGTTCCTCCTCTTGCCCCTTCGCTGCATCCGTCAGCACCTGCAGGAGCAGCTGCTCTAGTTGAGCCTTTGAGATCCTGCAGGAAACACAGGCAGACGACGCCTTTCGAAATGGGGGGAGATGCTCTGAGTTACAATCCGGGGGTGTCGGCTTACGCTTCGCGCGCAAACGTGCATTCATGATGACAATAAAGTTTGGGGTCTGGCTTGCAGAGATGAGGCCTTACGCTTTCGGAACAGAAAATTGACATCCCACTGGTTCTTCCTTCTGGTTGAAAAACTGAATGACCAGCTGAGATGATGCCCCATCTTCGGGTGTATCCGTGGCTTTGCGCTTCCGCGAGGCTTCTTCAGGGACCCCCATCCTGATGCTCTGACTGCTCTGACTGCTCCTACTGGCGTTGATGCTCTCTCTCTATGAGAGTCTGGGCTGCTCTACTGCATGAGCGCATGGCGCAACACCACAGGCCCTGCAGCGATTGTGCTTCCGTGATGCCCTCTGTAGCTACTGCCGCGGTTCATGATGTTTCTGCGGCTAGCCTTGTCTGTTAAGCACTTTGAAAAAGCGATTGCTTGCAGATTGTAACAGACATCGGCTCGCTCAGAGCTTCATGGGTGCCTGCGAATGGTCCAGGGGCCCCCTGGCTCCCGCCACTGGACCAGGGGCCCCCTGCCCCACACCGATGTTTCTTGGGGGCCCCCTGTTCCTTTGCGTCTCTAGGCCCCCTAATTTCGCTGTGCTTTTATAGCTGGGGCACATTTAGTGGAGCTCGGCACGCAAAGTAGCGAAAGGGGCCCAATTTTCTCATGAAGGACGAGAAGGCACTCCCGAGCATAGGGCCCCTAGTGGGAAGGGGGGCAAAAAGGGAGGCGTTTTGGAGGCATCTAGCACATACACCAGCAGTATCCATTGCCATTGAACGCTAAAAGATATCGGGGTTAAGGCTTTACCACGTCCCGCGTCTAAAGACAGCGGTCAACTGCGGCTGTACCCGGAGCATCGAGCGTGCCAGGAGCGGAACCTACTAGTTCAACAGAAGAAGAGCATACAGTGCAGCACCACCCATTGTTCCCAAAGCACCACTCCGAGAGCACCTGAATATGGGGAACCCCGTATTTCACGAAGCTTGCGAGGATATCTTCGGCATGCGGGTGCCTCCTGTCTCTCTCTGTTTCTGTTTGGTACTGCCCGCCCATGCTGCAACATCTGCCATCCAGCTGCTTAACCAGGAGGCTCCTCTTGCATCGCCTGTGCCGCAGGCTGCCTTCTGGCCTCCTGCGCACCAGGCTGGACTCCAAGACAGCCTGCCGCTTCCCTCGAAGCAAGCCAGAGGGCAGATGCAGCAGCAGCAGGTACTACAGCTAGCCATCGGCATCTATGAGCCAGAATGGCGACGCCGTCTCTCCTTCCAACACCTGAAGCGGTGCAAGGCCCTCAAGCAGACGCAGCAGGCCCTTGTGCTCTTGGGTTATTCCCCCGTAAGGTCGCTCGCCAAAGGCCTCTTCCCCCAACTGAATGAACGTCGCAGCTCTCCCTAGTGCCTCATCAATTCACATTCGTTCCCCGATGCTCCTTCCACCGATTTAGAGGACCTTAAGGAGGAAGGTTGAGGTCCTACCTGCCATGATTCGAAGACTTTTGCAGCCTCTCTAGCGGCTTTCGGTTAGCGTCCCTCTCTCTCTCGCTCTCTGTGTGCATGTATGTATATATATATATAACGTGCGTATGCATGTCTGCACATGTATGTATAAGTGGGTGCATGCATATGTATGCGTATATCTAGGTATAAACGTACGTATATATGTGTATGAATACATATATGTACATATGTGTATGTATGCATGTGCCGTCCTTGTTTGCTTCTTGCGGCTGCAGCACCTCTCCGAAAAAGTTCTCAATTTCCTCCTGACGGTCTGTCCAGTGGAAACAATAGGGGCAAATGAAGATGGAGAAAATATTTTGGCGAGCGCGACGGTTGCAGCCCGAGCAGCAGCAGACAAAGCAGCGGCACGGGGGGAGTCTATCGTTACGGCGGTCCATACTTCCGCAGCAACAACTGGTAACTTCGATACAGACCCTGCAGCAGCAGCAGCAGCAGCAGCAGACCAAGCAGCAGCCACGGAGACAGCAGCTGCAAGAGAGAGTCTCTGTAAGTTACAGGCATCAGGAGTCCGTAATGCTTTGTGGGCTTCCCCCTTGTGGGGTGAGTTGCTGCTGGTGTTGCTGGCGGTGCCTGCCGTCGCTCCACAATCGCAGTACCAGCAGCAGCCGTGGAGTGCTGTCTGGCCTTGTTTTTTTAATCGGAAGCGACCATCAGCGATGCCTGCAGCATTACCATCCTTAGGGGAGTCACTGTTGGAGAGGGCGGACCCCAGTGCTTCAGAGCGGAATACAGCGGTTGCTCCTCTGGAGCTAACGCAGAAGCAGAAAGAAGCGCATGCAGCCCTGCTGCAGCTTGCTGCAGATCGTGAGGCAGTCTTCAGTGTCTCCGTCGCTGGTGCCTTTGTCATTCGCGGCGGCGCCGCCTTGTGCTTATTTTCTACCCTTGAAGGATGATCCATAGGTCACTTACTCCGCCGCAGTAGCCTTTCGTACTACCTCAATGTCTTCTGCCCTTCTCGGGGCTTATTTTCCTCTTGTTGGAGCTGCTGGCTCCCCCGCTGCCTTCCTATGTGCGCAGGAAGCTGCTGCCTGATCGTCTTCCACAGCTGCGGAGCAGAACTCACAAACCGACTAGGCCGCAGCGACGACAGCAGCAGCAGCACCAGCAGCAGCGGCAGCATTAGCAAAGGCATATGCAAGAAAATCAGAACCAAAGATACCTCTGCCTGCAGTGACAGCATCTGCAGAGATCCTTTAAGCGGTTCTACAGCCACGACCGATGCAGGGGGATTAGCAAAGGCCCCTGTAGAAGTGGCGCCATGTGGCTGCCCTATCATCGGCTGCGGCTACGGGCCACATTGCTTCGACTTTTTGTGCAGCAGCACGAACTCCTGTACTACCAGCCCAAGCAGCAGATCTAGTGCGTGCGGGAAGGAGCCTGACCATCCGTTGCAGCACCCCGTGCTGCTCGCCATAGACTCCGTTGCGAAGAAGCTGCTGACCGAGCAAGAACGAGAACATCAGCTTCAGGGGCAGCAGCAGCAGCAGCAGTGCGCAGTTATATCTGAAGGGAACTATTACTGTCAAGCGACCTGCGTGTACATGCGAACGGAGCCGTGTATCATGTGCAGTATGGGCTTGTTGCAGTCGCGAGTTGAGGGCGTCTTTTTTATGAAGCCGCAAAATTCGCTGGGAGGCATTAGTGTTGCGGCGCTACACCGAGATAGACGGCTGAATCATCCGTTTAGGGCTTTTCAACTTTTGCAGCAGTCGTAGAGACTCTTCGCCTCTTCGAAGCCGCAGCAGCAGTGTGTCGAAAGAGAAGACCAACGAAGTTGTTCCTCAAGCAGCAGTTGCAACTTCCGAAAGCACAGTGCCTCCAAGAAGGTGTCTTTGCGGTTTCGCGTTTGTTGACTACGGCCGTCGGTCCTTGCTGTGCGGTTAGCCGCCGTACGGCAAGTGCTGAGCAGCTGGCCGATATGCAAACTTTTGTTCTGTGGGCTGTCTAGCAGCAATATTAGCCTTTCAGGCACAGGAGTACAAAGCAGCATGGCCCTATATGCGCTGCCGAGGCCCTACTCTTGCCTCCATTCGTTAGATCTTATAGGTGTATGTGGCGCTCTGGGTAGCGGCTGGCCATTGGGGGGAACGGGGGGAGCTGCTGGAAGGATAGACGTGAGTACTCTGCACCACTGCAAAGCGCTAAATCCTCGCTTGCCAAGTACGTACTCGGCTACCTCCGGCAGTCTAGGACGCAGCCATTAAGCTGGCACTGAATCGCTTCTTGAAGCATGTGCACTGGGCGGTTGAGCAAATGCGTGTCCAAGCTAGCAAGCTAGCTAGATTGCTGCTGGCTCGCACACTGCTGGTTCGTCTACACGCTTCCACGGTTCGACACCAGGCCGCAGCTCTTCAGAAGGCCTTAGGTGACCACGACCCTCTGCAACCGTCAGCCGTCGCAGCTCGTCTAGCAAGCTCTCATACCTACAGACACCCAGGCGAAAAGTTGCAGAAGGACACAACGCGACTGCTGGAGAGCTAAAAATCTATTTAGAGCGGCTCTCGAAAAAGTTCCGGCAGCCACTGCAGTCCTAAAACAGCAACAGCCGCAGTCAGCAGCAAGTACGTCAGCAGCAGCACAACAAGCGGCACGTACCCCGGTTTCAGCTGCCGTATAACTGCAGTAGGTGCTTGATATTTCTGCATCTCCCCGCAGATGCTGAGGCCAGCGGCCTTAACAAGGCATCGGAACCTCCCAAACTCCTCCGGTGTGAAAAGGCACACCGACAATCCCTTGCGCCGGGCCCTACAGGAGCGACAAACGCAGACACGGCACCAACGGCGTGCGTCATTGATGGCCGCTGCCGTATGCGCATAGACCTTGAAAAAGGCACCAGTAGGCAGGCACACGTCGGCCATGGGAACGCACTCGACAGCAGCAACGCAACGCTAGTTGCGACAGCATTAACGGACCGGCCGCTTCTCCCGGCTCTGTGGATATACGCATGTGGGTTTTGTGGTGCATCGTAGTGTAGCACAGCTTGAACGTCTGAGATGTCGAGGCCTCGTGCGGCTACGTCCGAGCAAATGAGCACCTCCGTTTGCCCCGCCCTAAAGCGCACGCCGCATCTGACCATACACCCAGCTAGAATTAAAAGATCCCAAACGCTGAAGAGGACGCAAGAAGTGAAGTGACAGCAGGGGCTGGAGAACTGTGCAGGCACTCGAGAGACAGACGCCCAATTGGAAAGAGGAGGGCGCGAAGAAGGGCAACACAGCTGGGTAGATCGTGAGAGGCTGCATTCTGCGAGCGTGGAAGCAAGCATTCGTAGGTTTAAACCCCGACAGCTCAGAAGGCTTGGGGCCTGTACTCTGATTCTGACATGAATTGTCTCAGTAGCCGGTGTCGCTCCTGTTGCGAGAGGCTTGAGCTAAACTCCCTTATGGACTGAGGATAGCGATTTCTGCCTCTGTGGCTGTTGCTTTTGCTGCTGCTGCTGGTATCTTCGGTTTCTTCCGAGCCGAACGGTGGGACAAAATCCTCCAGCCTCCTGAGCAGCATACACCTTAAGAACGGCGTCCGCAATGAGCAAGCATACTGGAAGGGCAGTTGCCGTCACGCAGACTATTCGCCTTCGCTGCTGCTGAGCAGTGGCAAGAGGTCGGTGACAACTTATGCAATGCTCTGCGCAGGCGCTCGGGAGCCCGCCTGCCAACAAGGCCACTGCCCCCCACACACATCAACCCCTGAACCCTCGTCACATGCGTCTTAATTTCTATATTCGAAAGCGAGCCATGAAAAACAGACCGATGTAACTACAGATATGTAGAGGCCCGCACGACGCGCTAGCTAGCAAGAGGTGGATGCACATATCAGCAGACACACCGCCGACTTGCATGCCTGTTGCATGTACATATATATGTGTAATATAGTTGAGTATTGCAGATGCCTGTAGGGACTTTATAGCGAAAACCCCTTATATATACACTGATTGAGGGCATCACAGCGCAGCGTTTCTAGTATGTCTCTTTGGAATAAGGCTTGTGGCTACGAAGGGTTTAGGGGCTAGAGAAGCCTCTTGAGTAGCAGTTCGGAGACCTCAAGATCACGGCACCTCACCGCTCTCGTGACTGGAAGTGAAGCTGCAGAAGCCGCGTCAGCCGATGCGCTGCCTGCCGCGATCCACAGAATACCACTACACGTAAGAGGCCCCTCTTCCGAGACCTATCAGCCCCCCTAGGAGGCACCCCCGTAGATCCCCCGTCCTCGACTCCTTCTACCTCTACTGGCTCGAGATCACCTTGATCTGCTGCTGCCGCGTTGGCAAGCTGGTAGAGCAGTGCCATGAGGACCAGGGGTTTGCGCTCAGGCTTGCACAGCACAAACTTCTGCTGCAAGAGAGAAGGCATCTGGGCCTTCCCTGAGGCACACGCATGTATGCATACGTATACACGCGATGTATGCCGAACGTGTATCTCGGCTACGTGCTGAAGGCTTTACACGTAATGGCTGCTAATGTGGAAAAGACGCACAGCTTGCGGGCGGTGTATCTCCGAAAGTCCCGCCACTACCCCACGAACAGAATGTAGCAACAAACACACCCTGACCCCCCCCCTTCTATACCTGTTGGAGAGCAAAAGAAGAAAAGGGGTCTGTAGAGCTGGAGGTCGTGTAGGGCCCTTGGGTTCCGTGTCATGGTCGCAGAGAAAACTGAAACCAGGATTACACTTCCACAGTACTACTGGTGAAACGCAACGTTTCATTCGGAAAGACACGCTAGAGCCACAAACGTGGACATCTCCATCCTTACACCCTCGATTCAATTGTTGCATAAGGCCTAGGTCGTGCAGCAGTCAAGATAAAAGGTTTAGCACCCAGAGTTCACGTTCTGCGGTTTAAGGGCTCACGAATTTTCCTGACAGGTGGCACGTGCAGCAACCCGTTGACGTCGTTCCACTGCCCCTGGAAGCTCCCCCCGACGGAAGGGGCCCTCGTACAGCCAATACCCATGAAGGCCTCTTTTTGGGGGCCCTCCCGCAGGGCAGCGATAAGACGAGATACCTCGAGCCATCCATGAAACGACTGCAGCACGCACCGAACGCAGAAGAGGCTTTGTGGATAGCGGCGAGGAAGCGCTCTTACATGTGCCTCCTCCTCCAGAGAGGCCCCTTTCGCTAAGGATTCCCACCGAGTCCGTTGCATGCGTAGCGAACGGCAGCAGCAGCTAGCTAGAAAGGCTGCTAAAGCAACGTTTCATGACACGAAACAGACCTGCTTCAGGAGTCTATCCGCTTCATCCACGACAAGCCACCGCAGCGCTTCGAAAGAAGGACCTAGTCCTGCATGCGCAGCCGCAAACCCTAGAGTCTGAGATCGGCGGAGGCGTGGCGTGCCCTTGAAAGGGCGCAAGTGCCAAGTTGGACTCTATACCGCTTGCCACATGGCCGGCTAGCTGAGGATCTAGCCACCCTTTCGGTTCAGACCGGCATGGGTTGCTGCTTCCCAAGGCATAGCCCTAACCTTGCGTGCCCTTCTTCTTGTGATGAATGTAGACATGCGCGATATCCACAAACCTCCCAGGCGTACAGACAAGGATGTCTGCAGGCTGGCCAGTCACCCTGACGAGCCTCCCTTCAGCAGCAGCAACAGCAGCAGCTGCTGCTTCTGCGTCTCCCAAGGCGGCAGCAGCGGCTCCTGTTGCTGCAGTTGCTTTCTGCCTCTTGGACGCGGCTGTCGTCTCTCCTGCGAGGCAGACGACCCGCAAAACTCGCGATGCCCCCTCCGCTCCAGCGAAGGAGATCCGTCCTTGCTCGCTCCCCTGCTTCCTCGAATCCATGAGCACATTAAAAACACCAGTGACCTGCACGGCTAACTCCCTTGTCGGCGTCAATACCACGCAGCGTAAGAGGGGCACTGCACAGAGACACAGAGACACATATACATGTGTGTGTATAGATACGTATACATGTACCACGAGATGAACACTTTCACGCATATATCTTTAATAAGCCCCCTTCCGTTTGTGTGTGTCTGTATGCCTGTGCGTCTGTATGTATACATATATATATATATATTCTTATACATGATCGGAAAGAGCACACGAAGGCTGAAGGGCAGCTCCTGCAGCCTTGAATGAGGCAACACATCGCGCAAACAGAAAGCTCTGCATCTCATGCATTGCCTCTCTGCACACTACTACCACGAACGTACCGCGAGAGCTGAAGAGGTGGCTCACAAGGGGCAGCGCGTAACAAAGAGTCTTCCCCTCGCCTGCAGGACGCCACAATACTCTTAGCCTCGAAAGAACCTTTTTACCAAGAAAAATTTGCGCTCACGGATATCTGAGATGGATGTCTGCACCAGCGAATGTCACGAGAAGATAGGCCTACAGGTTTCAGGGCTTGAGTTACCTGTTGCTGCGTGTACGCAGACGTCACTGGCTTCGGAGGAACCAAAAGGCAGCTCGAGCAAGCGCAGCAAATGCGGAATAACCGCCATTTGAACTGCACCGACAGCAGCACACTAAGCAGAAGCTAACATGCTGACGAAGGTGCCAGTGAGAGAAGTGATATAAATAACACCCCGCCGCATGCTGCAACAACAGCAAAACGCGGGCGGGGAAGCAGTGGCACCAAAACGGGGAAGTGCTATGGGTGGGGCAGACGCTGTTGGCAGTTTCCTGCAACAGAGAACCTGATGTTTAAAGAGGGGCCTCGAATCGCACTGCCCGGTAAGCCTTCATGTTTACGCTTATCTTGCTGCTAGTGCTCTTGATGCTGGAGGTGCCTACGCCGCGCTCGGAGACCCCCAGTGTCTTTGTACGGGTTGGCTCGCATGAACTGGATATCTCAAGGCAGAAAGACTCTTACTCGGGAATAAGACGTTGCCTATGCGTCTGCGGAAGGCTGCAGCAGCAGCAGGGTGCAGCAATTCCAGCACCGCGTCCGATTTCGAGATGTCTTCTGCTTCGTCTGGTACCAAAATATACCTGCTAGTCCAGTCAGGAAGGCGCTGCTGCTGCTGCGGCTGCCTGTGCTGTGCGGATCTCGACTGAAGCGACTGGTGCTGCTGCTGCGTGTGCTGTGGGCTTAATTCACTTGTTGAGCCAGCCTCTACAAGCTTCTCTTCGGAGGCGACTGTCTGGACTAGCTGCTGCTGATGCGCTTCCGTCCGCCGAGCTTTTCGTGACGTCAATCCATCCTCAGATGGCGCTACTGAAGACTCTTCAGTAAACCCCTTTTCCCTCTTCTGCCTTCTTTGTGGTGCCCCCCCTTCCCCAGCGCTCCCAGCGGCCTCCTGCTGGCCTTCCGCTCCTGCATTTGCCACTGCCGTCGCCGTTGCCGCTGCTGCTGCAGCTTCGAGGATGCGCTCTCTCCTTGTTTTGGTCTTAGAGGCCCCTCCCAGAGAGGGCCCCTTTTTTGAGGCCATCCGCTAGGGGCCCTTCTTGCCGCCTCCCCGAACCCCTTCAACCCTTCTCCGCTTTTTCTGATACAATTTTAAATGCTTAGGCTTTCAACTTGAGCTGCTGCGGGACGAATGCGTCGGCAAATCCGACGCAAGGCTCGACGCTAGAGGGGCCCCGCGATGGAACGCTGAAGGGGGGCCCCAGCCCAGCCAGTAGGGCGGTGACCCATCTGCTGGGGGGCCCCCTTTTTCGCCATTTCCTAGTATTTTACGCGAGCTAAACATGCCTGTAGGATGCTTTTTTTCTCAGCAATTGATCTCTAGGGTGCATCCCCGCTACCCTGCCCACTGTGCTCCTGCGCCTCCCGGGAGCTTCGATACCTTCGCCCTCCTCCCTCTTCAGAGGGTCTTCTCAGGGCCCTTCACACTTTTGCTCGAATCTTTCACCCGGCGCTTCCGAGTCACAAAAACTGCTCGTGTGCGGACTCATACTCGGCAGAGAGAAATGAACGGGCAACACGAGGCCACACAAGACGCGGGGGCCTCTGGGTGTTCCCATGGCTCCAAGGGGCCCCTGGAGGAGGCCCAAAAGGTACTAGACCGTCAAATCCGGCTGTGGGGTCTTGAGGCGCAGCGCAAGTAGGTGCTCAAACAATTGCTATCCGGTGCAGCACCCCGAAGGAAAGCGGGTTTTATCGGCGTAGCCACGCTGTACATCGAGATGTCTGTGTGTACATTTGTTACATTAGCACTCTCAAACTCCATGCAGCCTGACACTCCATGTAATTTTCATGGCCAAAAGGTTGCTTGACTTGCAGTAGGCAGCTGTATGCCCCCTACAAACAACTTGTCTCTGCACGCGCAGCTTCCCCGAACAGTGATCGTGTCCATGCCTTTCGCTGACAGTCTGTGTACAAATATATATGCGTGTAACTTTGTATATACATGTATATTGTATTTATGTGGACCTCAGGCTGCTGGCGGCCCGCGTTCTGATCCTTGGTCTCTCCGCCATCAATGCAGAGGCTAGCAAAGACCTCGCACTTGCCGGTCAGGGTGCTACCATTTTATCGCCTGTTGCTGAATTTTTCTTGTGACTACCACTCAATGCTGTTGTTTCTCACTGCTGTTTTCGATTCCTCTCGCTCCGGATTTCTCGCTCCCCGTGGATATTTTCTGTGGATGAGGCGATACGGGTGTATGGAGTTTGCGTGTAGGCGTCTCTCAAACGCTTTGTGACGACCGCCCCTGGGGGAATGAAGACATCAGAACCAATTACCTCCCAGCTCTCGCTGCCTCACTGGACACAAACTGCAGCGTAGGCTCACCTGGGGCTTCGATTGCTGCTGCTACGCTATGTACTTTCAGTAGCATTCGTTACAGAAATTGCCTTCTCTGCTTTTGGTGTGACTGTTGCCGTCAAAACACCTGTGCTCCCTGAGACGTGCCCGCTGAGGCTTTGGAGTTTGCGTCCAGACCGCAGAGGCCAGTAAGAAGGGCTTGGCGTCCATCGCCTCCTTCGTGTCTTTTGCCTCGGTGACCCTTGAGGCTTTGGGCCTTGGGGAGAATGCAAACCCTGCAACTCTAGAAGGCGTCCTCAAGCAGTTTACCTGTATTTGTGTCGCTGCTGAGATGTTCCCTCTCCACACGCTGGTAGGCCACACCTGCAAACTGCAGATCGCTTCCGTGCCTCTAAGGGCCCTTACTGTTGCACGCGATATGGTGGGATGGCAGCCGACGCGAGACGAGCTTCGTCCTTCCAAGGCTCTTTTGCAGCTTGGACACGCTTTGCGTCTTCTCTGCAGGGCCAGCTAGCGGCTGCCTGCCGGAAGCTAGGAGTGGTAAGAGGGGAAATCCTAAGCGCAAAAAGCTACTTGCCACCAAACTCCACCCCGTGAGATTTACGGCTTAGAGCGTAAAAAACTGTGGGATTCGTGGTTACTTGTGCACCTGGGTGAGTGTTTGTGTGTGTATCTGTGTGTCTGTGTGTCTTCGTGTGACCAGGGCTTGGTCGTCTCTCAGTGCTGTGGCAGCATTGGCTTCTTTCTGCAAGACTTTGGCACCTACGAGCTGTATATACATACACACCTGGGGTTCCTTTTCTCCCTGACACTAGCAGTAGACTATCTGGAGGCACTAGGTAGCTGCACATAAGTTCACTTTCGTAATGATGGCAGTCTATAGGGGTTTGTAGTACAAAGCAATCCTTTTGCGAGCTTTCCAAGGGTTCACGGTTCTGGTTTACTACTTGTTGGCGTTTGGCGTGCTGCAGAGCCCCGAAAGAAGGCGGTGACAGCACACGTGTATCGCATCCACCTCTCCTTGATGCCCTTAGCGCAAAGTTGGTGTGTCGGGCTCTACAGTTCAGGACTAAAGACTCCTTCCCCTTCGGTCGGCACAAGTTGCATGCACGCATAGGACTCCGAATGTGGTGTTTTTTTTCGTTTGCCCTGGCCGCTTAGGGAGAGTTGGACCAAAGAGTGAATGCCGCCGTCTTTGCATTGTTGGGTAAGCTGCACAATATGTTTGCGGACTGTGGGCCTCGGGGCTTCTGGGCAGAATCATACACTGATTATGGTTATTTGTGAAGCCTTTGTTGCAGCGCTCCTCCGCTGGGAGCTAGAGATCCAACAGCCACGACGTTCACTAGTGTCGTCCGATACCAAGGAATCAGCAGCGGCAGCTGCAGCAACCGAGATGGAGGCTGCAACCGCAGCGATTCTTGCGGCTGAGAGAGTAAAAGTAACACCAGAGATACGACGAGCGCTAAGGTGCGTTTTTGGGCCCATGTAAGCTCTGTGGGATCCAGCGTTTGGGATTGCGAGTGTCAAAGCCTCTCTTGGCCTTTGCCGATTGTGGATTGGAGTGAAAAATTAAGAAAGGGGTCGTATTTCTGCGTTGCCTCCGTCCAGGGATTTGGCCACTGGCTATAACGTGCAGCTGAACGCTACTGCCGCCGTTGTTGGCGGCCTCGTGGGTGCGTTGGGTTTTTAAGGTCTGGGTGGTTTAATCTTCCATGGTTGTTTTCTGCCGCGTAGTGCTGGTATCCTCTGCTTGCGGAGGCACCCTATTCCTGTGGGGCAGATTGGCAAAAGAACGAGTGGGAAGCTAGGCGCCGGGGTCAGGCTTCTGAGTAAGGGCTAATAGTAGTGTTTGTGGCTGTGTGTGAGCAGCTCAAGAAGTTAGGAAGTTTGTTGCGCGAGAACAAAAGGCGGTTCCCAATGTCGTTGTGTTTGACGGACACTCATCGTGTGCTGCCGTAGCAAGTGTCCCAGACAGCAGTATTCAAAATAGTGAAATGGCTTGAGACAGCCCGCGCCGCTGATAGCTTGTATTTGATACAGCAGCAAAGGTAGCAGCGTAAGCTCCTGCAACAGGAGGCCTTTTTGTGGTTCAAACCCATAAATTGCTTGAGGAGAACTTGTAAGGGAGTAGCACGGCGGTTATGCATTCGTATCGTTGGTGAAGCGCTTAGGAACCTAAAGCGTAACCCGTAGGGGCTGCTGAGGAAGATGTAGCGCTTTCATGGCGATGCACAGAAAGACCCTTTTAGCCTCAAAATTGAACAAAGCTTAACAGAAAATTGCAGTGCGCTTTAAAGAGCTTCTCATCATCCACGCCTTCGCCTTTTAGGGATCTGGCACGAGGGAAAAGAGAAGCACTGATATACTATCTGAGCGCTCTTGCACCCTCTATAAACTCCGAGCATTTACAGATAGATGCACATAATAGCATTCCATAAGTGCAAACGCACACAACCTTGATTCTTTTCGTACTGACTTTGAGCTACATAACTCAACTCCAAAACAAGTAGCATCTGTGAACAGCCAAATCTTTTGTTACTTTTCCACTTAGTGTAACTAATGTAGTGTAAAGTGTTTTAATGTAGATCAGTCTGCTACAGACTGCTTCCGGGGGTGTGGATGCGGTTGTTGTATGTTAAGAAGCTTGCATTCCGCTCTCAGATAGAAGCCCCCAAAATTTTTAAATCTAGGCTTTGGGCCTGAGTACCTAGTCTGACCCAGCGCTTTCTCCGTCTCCCTTTCAAGCAGGTCTTTAATTTGCCTGTACCACTTTCAGGGCATGTGCTCTGCAGAGCTCCATCCAATATTTTCCTAGGGAGACACTGAACTCCAGTTCTAGTCCAGATTTGGAGTAATTAAAAAAAGTGCTACTCAAAAGAACTTACGCGTTCCTCTACTCGCGCGCTTTAGAATACCAAGACAATGAGAAGGCTTATACGAATCACAAAATAAGATGTGTAAACTAACCGCTCAAGTGAATGGAGCGGGAAGAAAGGCACACACTTTATCCAACAACGAAGGAGGAAGCAAACCAAGACGACAGTGGCAGCGCAATGGCAACTGTCGTCGAAACGTGTGTGCCTCTTGATTGCAGAAAGCGAAGACAAGTAAGCTGTGTGAAAGCTCCGCAGTCTCCAAACGCTGAATAAAGCAATCTCTGCGTACAAAAACTGCCTTTGCGTACAGCACAGTCACTATCCAAACATCGAAAAAGGCACAAGTAAAAGTGTAGACACGCCACATTCGAAAGAGTCCAAGCGCTACTTTGAGTATGCAAAGCACCTTGGCAATAGAAACCTACAATCGTATAAGCAACATCATTAGATGAAGCTAGCGGTTTTAGGGAGAGCCTGCGCTGGGGGAAGACAATCACTAAGCGTCGCGAGAACCACCGTCCATGGCGACTTTTGTCGTGGATTTATCAGAGGCGCAACACCTTCTGCATGACGCCGCAACCGCCCCTCCTTTAGGCAATGTTTGCGTTCCCCACTCCATTTCAGTAGAAACTCTTTTCTACCAGGTCCTCGGCGCTCAACAGTCGTTGCCTCGCTGCGGATCCTCCGCCCCCACGTGGGTCCTATGAGTGCGCGGCAAGATCAGCGAATATTTTAGGGAGTGTCTAAACATCTTTTAGCTACAAATATTGCCAGTGTCAAGGCATCTTCAATTTCAGGGGGCATTGACAAAGTAAGGAGGTGCACTTGATTCAAGAGAGTATCGCAACTTGTCCTGGCCACACGGCCGTCGACTCACTCCTTTGATTGCCGTCTGATGCACACTGAAAGCCTGCAAATCCACCAAGACTACAGCTGCAGGGTCGTGGAAGCATCTGGGCGCAGAATATCGCAATTCCGTGCTTGTCTGACTTTAGGATTGCGCATATATTCGCGTGCGCCACCCAGCTGTTCCGTGAGTCCTTCCGCGTCCTAGGATGGCTGCTGAGACTGGACCACCACTTGCACGCTTCGATTGAAGACAGGCTTCTCATCGTAGACCAGGGCTATAGGAGAATAGCGGGTAGACGAATGCACTGTCGGATTCCATAAACCTTTACAGCACAATGAAGACCATTAAGCCAAGCAATTGGACTCGCAGGAGCATCGAGTCGCTTATCCTGCAGAACAGGTGCCATCTACGTGCCCATCTCCTTCGGGGTGGTGCGCAGTGGTCAAATTTTGGTCGATGTGCAATCAGGTCATTAAGGCACGCCAAAACGCATTAACAGACTTCAGAAACTTCTTTCATACTGATACTTACGGGTATGAAAATCGCTTCCACACGTGAATAAAAGATAATTAAGCGGCTTCTTAGGCCGAGGTTGGAGCAAGGGATGGAATTGGCATACTCTCTGAGCTTGTAGACAATGGCGTAGATGCTATCCTGGTCCTCAAATTACGGCAATCCAACGTTCAAGTCCCTATTCATATCGGTCCAAATATCCTCCTAGGACCAACCAGCTTCGCAAAAAGCGGAATTTAAGATCATTGCGGTCCTTCCGCTGCTTAGAATAGGGGCATGACACTGCATACTCCCATGTCGTGGGGCGCAACGGAGGTCATTAGAAGGACCGTGAAAGTTTTTCCATGGTAGTGCAAAGTCCACCAAAGTCCGACATAGCACGATAATGTGCTTTTCGCGAAACGGCACCGCGATACGAAGCTGAAATACACAAATAGCGGAATACCCGTCTCTTTTGTTCACAGCTGGCCATCCTCAGCGTGTACGTGCCTCTCCCGTTTGCCATTCTGAATTTAGCCATACTAAAGAGTGCATGCCTACCATAAAGCAGATAAGTCACGCGATTTTGATAAAAACCATAAAACGCCCCATGCAGGGGCAAATGCGCTGCACGTATGCGAATTGCTGAGGTGTCGTAGGAAAGCAAGAATACTTCAGTGAGAAGTCGCACTACAAGTAGCGTGCATGCCAGAAAACAGCTCTACGATTATCCGAGTCCTGAAGACACCCGAAGGAAGGTGCACTAAAGCCACATGATTCGGTCTGAACAGTATACCGAAGCCCATGGAGATAGTGCCAGCATTTATTTTTTCGCCCTGCAACGTCACACTAAGTGCTTTTTCCACGGATTTTGCTATTAGGTAACGGTTGAGTGCACTGAGAATCCGTGTCGTGAAGAATTCGTACCCTGTCGGTAAAAGTAGAGCCCACTTCTTTACAACTACAACCGGCTATCGGGGAAATGACCCCCACTGTTGAGCAGAGCAGTGCAAGCACCGGGAGAGTTGTAAGGTGGCCTATTTAACGTTCATGCTACGGCATCAACTTCGGGTATCCAGATCATAGACTGCGGTTTTCACTCAATTCAAAACAAATTAAAGACGCACCGATCCGAGGAAATCCATGAATGAAATCATGAAAACTACACCAAGCCTCATAGAGCTCTGCAGCGTCCTTCCAGGCGAGTAAGGGTAAGGGCCACGCCTTGATTTCTTCAAATTCTTGCCAAAATTGGCTTACTTAGTTCTGAACACAAATTTCCATAAACTCGGATGTCAGTATAGAAAATCGAATGCTCGTACGCTTTCACATACCCGTGTTTAGCCTGAAAAGCTGAAGCGCATGTCGCAGGTGCTGCAGGTGCCTTTGAATTTCTGCTGAAGAATAGGACGTCGTCCATGTAGAATGTCGTATACCCCTTCTTGATAGGCTCGTTAGAGGTTATGCTCGATAATGCTGTTGCAGCTTATGTGGGGCATAAACAAGTTCAAACTGTAAACGGGTATGCTCGAGGTTGTGAGTGTGAATGTGGAGCGCCGTTTTGTGCCTCTCATATGGATAGATAAAGATTTTCAGAAAGTCATCGTGAATTCAACGATCGAGTAGACTGCTGCTCCGTGTAATGTGTCTACTTATGCGCTATTGAGATAGACACCGGGAACTTTTGCCTCACAATGTTCATGTTCAGAAGCTAAAAATTAATGCAAGTGCGCCGCTTTCCACCCTTGTCCTGGACCAACGTTGGGTTATGCCCTAAATCGCTGGTCGAATTCTGCACTGTTTTTGCCAGCATACCATTTGCTTTTCGCTTGATCCCCATATCACGGTGTCAGGGCTTCCGACGCCGAAGAGGCGAACTTGGGACTAATGTGCAGGATAGTTCAATACGGTGTGCTGGACGACCAGCACGTGGCCAGCCTGATGGCAGCTCATCATTATTTAGCCCATCCGCAAACTACTCCATAAAATTGGCTTATTACTCCTGCTCCTATGCAAAGCGTGTAATTGAATTCTCCAGTAGAAAACGAAAGACGGGATGCGTCTTCGGAACCTTCCTCTCTCACTGCACTGCTGAGATAAGCGCTAAGGAGACCCGGAATTGGTTCTCTTCAGGACTTTCCACCACACTAACCTCCGTCGGGGCGCAGCTGTCATCGCGTGCTCGCCTTCCATTAGCGCACCCTTGAAAATGAATGCAATATGCTATGGTGCACGGGTTCAACATTAGAAGTCAGCGATCATGCTGCTAGGACAAGCTTCCAACTTGAAGTGACATTTAACCTGCACTTTTTCCGTTCATTGTATCTAGCCGCCCATCAGCCGACAAGAGCCTTAGAAACTGCGCAAATGAGTCAACAGGCAGAAGACACGTTTACGCCTTCTCCTCAGTTAACAGATGCACTTCACATCCAACGCTAAGTAATGCCAGCAATTCTTTACCAGTAATGTAAACTCGGACCAGCGCAGACTGGGGCCGCGTCTGATTTTCGGCCGCAGATCTATCCTTCCTAGCTCCCGTCACTGCACCTCAACTTATGTGGGGGATTTTCCATTTTTCTTATGTGTCTTCTTAACTCGCCAAGCTGCCTGCTTCCACTGGCCCCACTTCCATTGTTCAGGCTCTTCAACCTTTTGCATGCTGTTGCACTTTCAAGTTATATGATCCAATTTCTTACAATAAAACTAGGTGCATTTTGGGGGTCCTGCCTGGATACGAGCAGGGGTCCCTGTAGCCTTCCTATGCCCGTTGACCTGAGGCTGTAGGCTGCCGCCGGTTTGCACATCTCCGGCATCCATAGGTTTTAAATCCTGACTTGACTATTCCTCACAAACCAACTAGGCCGAAGTTTCGCTGACGTGCTTCTCAAACTTCAAGAAGTCCATCGTTTGAGGAACTTTATTGGTCTATTGTTTTATAGCTGGATATCTGTCCACCCTCTGACCATTTGAAGTAATGCTTCGGCCAGACTTTAGACAAGCCACTGATAGAGCATGAATTCATCTAGGTTGTAGTGTCTTAGAAGCAAAGCTTCATATTCCTTGATAAATGGATCTTTTGACCGCTTTCCCTGCTCCAGATTTCTCAGTTTCCCCAAAGACCTTATGCGGATCTCATTATTAATCGATGCGTTAGGGCATGTATGAAGTTTTGAGCAATGCTTATCCCCGCAGGAAAAGTATGTCCTGTGTATAAACAGAGCCAGTATTGGAATGCTTCTCCTCAAAAATAGGCCGCAAGGAGCATTCGTTTCATCCAATGTGCGAAGTACGGAGCAAGGAACACACCCAACCGGCTGATTAAGTCTTCAAGTACTTGCCACCCCCGCCACGCCTTTAGAGTTGGCATAACCTCGTTGACATGCACATAAACATTTTGTCGACAGACAAATCGTGCCGCTCTACCAGCTGTGGAGCTACTGCGTGCATAGCAGCTTGCAGTCCGGCCTCTGCCGCCCAAACAGGCACAATGCCACCGTCAGCTTCCATCTTTAGAGAATTCCTTTTGCCCTAGACTGTTGCCAAGGAATCTCAAGTTAATGAACTAGCAATTAACTTGATCAAAGCCAAGCACATTGTTGTAAGCAAACCAAAAGTCCCACTGCATCCACAACCAGTGAATAACGGGATCAAGAGGGAACAGCACCATCAAGCAATACGGTTCCATCAGCTGTAGCGTCTCAGCTAGGGCCTTAGCTGGGAGACACTTAACGTCAGAGTTAATAGAAGCTAGGTAGAGAGATAGTGTATACCAAAGAAGGTCCCTCCTCCACCAGCCCGCACCCCAGAGCCCTTAACATCAGGGAAATTGGACAGCTAGGTTGCAGTCTCCTGCACCCTTTAAGAAGTCTGACCATGCACAGCTGGCTTCACATGGCATACGCGCACGATGTTGCGTCGTGTATCGAACTAGCAGTACTCTGCAATGAGATGCATGCTTAGTTAAAAAGAGCGGACAAACTATCCAGTTCTTTACTTATTCTTCATTAAATATGAACAGCGTAATAGAGAACGTTGACATGTAGCTTTGCTCGTCACAGCTTCGAAGGCTTCCGGGGGCAAAGCAGGGTATCGGGCTCAGCCTTGCACTGTCAGCTTACGCATGCTACTGACGGTCGTGTAGTTACCGAATACGTCGACAATTAAGACCTCGAGCAACCAGGAAGTCACTTTATTGATGTACTGCAATTTGGGGGCTGCTCCCTGCAGTATGCGCCATCGCCATACTCGCGGGGTTTTACAGCTAATAGCTCGTCGCTTGCATGAAAGTATCTAAGATCTGTGTTCAAGGGCGCATATCTTCCAATATGTGGCTTGTAACTGCAAATGGGTTCTCTTAGTCATGTACTCTGTCGGGTTTCGAGCCGAGCACGCGGAGCGTCTCCAATTCTTTTGGATGAGGCCTTTTGTTTTGGGGTTCAATATCAGGATTGTCCTGCCAATTTAGCTTCTATGCTCCTAGAGACACAGCAAAAAGTAAGGGTGGTATTTGCTGGGTGCTGGGTGGTGCAACTGCACAGCCCCTGCAGTACAGCTGGCGTCCCGGGGGGTCAAGGAAGCAACGTCACTTACCGCAGCCCCAGTCTTTGTCGACAGCGTGGTGCCAATGGTTTTGAATCAAGCGTTTTTAGGCTCGATGCTACCAAGTATAGTGATGAACAATAGGGGAAGCAGTCTACGCGTGGCTGCATTTTATTGGGATCCGCTGTGACTCATCGATCTCGGCCTCGCCAGCGGCTTCAAGTACTATTGTTTCGAGGTTTTGGGTTTGGGCTTCTTCTCTCACCGGAATCCTCGAGTTTTACACCCTGTTCGGGCGAAGAAGCCACATCATAGGACCAGAAGTGACGAACTACGTACCACAAGCCACCAGCCATGTGGCGGCTCCTCACCGTGGGAGCGGCGCCGCTGCTCTTCTTTTCGACGTTCTCTTCCTGTAAACAAACCCCCTCTTATTCCACCCCTCATGAAATTGTAAGTAGCACGAGCGTTCACGGGCCTTGGGGGGCTAAGCGCCACCGCCAGCCCGATCCCTAAAACTGGAGAAGGCGCTTCACCAAGCCATCCGCCATCACAGCATCCCCTGAGGATTTAAGGCTCTGTGATGGGAACTGTTCTAGGTTTTAGGGTCTGCTGGAGGGCTCAGCTGGCTCAGGAGCCTTCCCTCAAATACCTCCTTGGCTCGCGGCTGTAGCCAAGAGCCAAACACACGAGTCCTCCAGATGGGTGTTGCCTGCGGAATGGCGGCCAGCTGTGCCGCTTCTGCAGTGCCATCATTCTAGGCTTTCTTCTGAGTCAAACAATAGGGTTTGTGTGCTCGTACCAGTGAGCATGTAGTATGTGTGTGTTGCGTGCATGTGTGCCTTCATGCGCCCTCAACAATTAGGCAGGAGACCTTACTGTCGACGCGCGCTTGGTGACGGACCATGTGGAACTGCTAGCGTGGTATCTCCAGAACGAAAAATTGGCCGTGGCGCACGTGGCCATGTGCCTACTTGAAGGGCCTCTCCATGAAAGTACATCGCGTTTAAACGCTGAACCCATATTGACAAGTTCTTGAGCATTACACACAGAGTCTGGCTGTTGGTTGGTTTGAGGGGAAACGGGCAGGGCAGGGTTCGGGCGCAGTTGCCCTGTGCCGTAGAGCCGTTAGAATCACGAGGACAATTTTCCCCATACAGCAAACGCAAGACCTTTTGCGTACTGCGTGTGGTGCTGCAGTTTCGAAAGAAATCATCGAGAAATGCAGCGGCGATTTTGATTTCATTCGCTCTTCAGTTAAAGATTTTATTATTGGGCTTCCCCGCTCCCCAGTGAGACCCAGGCTTCCATTTTTGGCCATAGCTCGCTGCTTGTGTCGGCGTTGCGGCACGCGGGGGTAGGGGTGATGGAATGTGTGCCTCTTCATGATGCTGGCTGGCTTGCTCCCCTCTCTATTTATTGATTGATTCCCTATCGTGGCTTCGCTGCTCATGGGGTATCCCGACTCGGTGTAGCGGCGTCGTGTAATGCGTTTGTATCCTGTGGATATGGATGTGCCTCGCACTGTTTGTGTCTCTCTGCCTCTGTGTCTTCCTTCTGCTGGGACGCCAGACACCCTTGAATCTTGGAGAAAGCGGCCCCTCGGCGGCTCTCCGCAACGCTCTCTTGAAGGCATGGAGGATGGCCGAACAGGAAGGATCGCCTATCGGGGTGCATCATCTGTATCTTTCACTCATAGAAATATCCGCTTTCGAGAAATTTATGATGAAGGGGGGCTGCAACCTCAAGGTTTTCAAACAGTAAGGAAAGGGCACTGCTGCTGCTGCTGCTTCGCAGAGGATACGCGTAGCCGCAGTTCTCGGACTGCCTATGTGTATACCGCGGGCCCCATTAATACGTACAAGGCACTGCATGCGCCCTTCGAGCTCATGAAGCCGCGTTGTTTTTGCGTTCTTAGTGTCCTTTTCCGTGTCTCCATTACTGTACACGCACGTACATATGACGTACGTGCCTTGATATCTCTTCTGTGCAGCGAAGTAGTGGAACAGTTTAAATCCCGTCAGCGAGGGTCCCTTCCAACTTCTTTTCAAGATATGGTTGACGATAAGAAGTCGGCGGCAGGGATCTCGATTTCACAATATGGCGTCGACCTTTCATTCATGGCCCAACAGGGGCTATTGCCTCCCGTTATTGGGAGGGAAGAAGAAATAGACAGAATCGCGCAGGTCAGAATTCTTCAAGGCCGCGTAGCAATGCAGGGGAAGTGTGTGTGTGAACGGGTGGGGCTTTTTGAGGCCGACGGCTTCAGGGCTAGCATACGCAGCTTTGAACACTCGGAATTCGGGCTGTTATTAGCTTTGGGAATTGGCGGTTTAAGGTGTGTGTGCAGATCTTAAGCCGAAAGATGACGAAAGCTCCAATGCTTCTTGGAGAAGCTGGTGTTGGGAAAACGGCGGTCGTGGAGGGCTTGGCGCAGCGTATCGTTGAGGTATCCCGCATTCCCTCAATCCCGTAATTCAGAGCTATCTTTGATCGCCTTGTCTGGGTGTTGATGGCGCTGCATACTGCTCAACATATGCAAGTGTTCGAGCGCACACTTGCTGGTGCTTTTGTTTCATATGCCCGTAGCTTAAATGTGTAGTGTGGCTGTGGGCAGCCACTTGCTCACTTCTGCTGATCCACTTTATCCGACGTATGCATCCATAAATATCTTAATACTTCTATGTTGTAAGGAAAAAGAACCACTCTCTTCCGCTGCTGCCTTTCTTTCGGGTGCCCGCAGGGGGCGGTTCCGGAGAGTCTCCGAAATCGAAGAATTTTCTCACTGGATCTCCTTTCTTTGTCCGCGGGCTCTGCCATGCGCGGGGAATTCGAGAAGCGAATGAAGGAAATTATTTCATACTTGCAGGAAAACGTCGATGAGGTTATTCTGTTCATTGACGAGATACACACCCTCATTGGTGCAGGCAAGGCGGCGGGCAGCATGGACGCCAGCCAAATTCTGAAGGTCCCACTTGCTAGGGGAGAGATTGTGTAGGCCTCCGATACCTGCACACCCACTCACGCACCTGCACCTACTGCTTAAGCAGGAAAAGCCGATGCTAACAGTTGCAGTGATGCAGATAGTGGCGGGGCTAGAAAAAAGCATACAACTTACTGTAAGTGGCTGGCCAGCTATCGGGCAGCCTGACGGTGGGGCATCATCCCAAATTTTTCTGTGTAGTGTGTTTGTTTAGTCTGGTTGGTGCAACGACGCTGGGGGAGTACAAGTTGCACATTGAGAAAGACGCCGCCTTTTGCCGGAGATTCCAAAAGATCGTTGTGGAGGCCCCCTCTAAAGAACGGACACTGAGTGCGTCTCGGCTGCCTCGACCATTGGGGAGTTAGGAACTCTAATTTAAGAAGGCAGAGAGAGCAGATTAGGGAGGAAAGGCTATCTTTGCAGGTCAACTAGAAAGACAGCAAAGCATTAGGAAATGACATCGGGAAACGATTTAAAGCGAGGCCATGTAAAAGGCAGGGAGAGAAGGCAGGCTGCCTTCTGCGGTTTCGTCACACTAGCGTCGAGTACCCTTGCTCCTGCGTCTTATCCAACTCCTACTTTGGCTTTTTGCCATGCGCGTTTTTTGTGCTTGTCTTCCCCCGCTTCCTTGCGTAAAGGGGTCGGTATGTCAGTTTCTCCAAATACCAATTTTGGAGCATATCCTTCATCTCCTCTCCGCCGAGGAGCATGTCTAATCCGCAGCTGGCTTACTAGGTAGCGTTATCTACCTCTATGCATCGATCTTTCGTTGTGCGTGTATGCGCGGTTTTTTAGGCATTCTTAGGAGGGTGAAGTCGAGGTACGAGCAGCACCACAACATGACTATTGGCGACGCAGTGGTCTCTGCGATCGTAAACATGTCGGATCAGTATGTAAAGAGGCGTTCCATGCCTGACAAGGCCTTAGACCTGATGGATGAGGCCTGCTCCATGCGCCGTGTCATGCAAAGAAATCGAGTGGCTGAGCTGACAAAGATGATCGAGGAGACGCATAGCAACAAGCGCAGTATTGTGAGCCGAAGCATCATAAAATGGGTTCAGATAAGAATAGCAGATAACAGCGCACTGGAGGTGTTTTCGTAGGACAGGACGGTGTTGATACCTGGGCAATAGTAAATAGAGGTATTTTGAGGTTATTGAGACAGCTTGTTCCTCAAGAAGTTGTTGCGTTGCACCCACGGCTGTAATTCTGTAATGGAGTTAGTTGTGTTACTCAATGGCCAGTGCCGAGGAACAACTACAGCCAGAGCTACTCACTAGCAGCGGGGCAAAGGGCTTTGGGTGACCGAGTCTGGGACAGATACACAGGCAACGGCAGAGAGGTATAGATGTGGATAGTCTGCGGAGGATTGTGGACCTGGGGAACCTTCCTCTACCCGCAAAATATTATTTGGCAATGTAATAAAAGGGGATCCGGCCGACAGTGTCCCTCGCTCTTGTTTACTAGTTTGAGGAGTTCTGGTGAGGCTCGTACTCTGAGCCAGTCACCTTTTCTGCTTCTTGGTTGCGCGTGTCTGGCTGCAGCCCGCTGACGAACTACAGGGCTATGAGGAAGAACTTGATCGCCTCACCCGGAAGACAGAAGAGGTGGGAGTCTCAGCATGCATGAAGGTCCTTAGTAGGGCCGTAGTGCAGCCTCCGTTTTTGCCCGTTTGCCCTATGCTCCTCTGTTCGGTAGGGTTCATGTCGAAGCAGAGGAAGCTGTTTAGGCGGCACATTCATTTTGCGGATAGCTGTGCATTCCTGTAGCATTATCTTGGTTTAGTGCATATCGAGCTTTCAGTTATGTTGTGCTTTGTATGCATCGTTTGTGTCTGTAGCGCCCTGATCCGGAACACATTGATCTGACTGTGGACGACGTGGCAAGGGTTATCAGCATGTGGACTGGCATCCCCATTGGGAAAATGACTGAAGATGAAATGTCTAGGGTCCTGAAATTGGCGAGCATACTCAGCAAGGTGAGTTGCTGCTACTCTCTCTGCACAGCCGTTTGTACGCAGAAGACACGTGATTGTGAAACGAAGAATACTCAGATCTAAACTGCAGGGAATTTTCGCGCTAAGCTGGGGTGATATGCTGGTCACTGCCTCCGTCTTGTACCTTCTTGTTAGGCTTCCATAGGTGCACATGGTGATAAATTTGCATGCTCCGTGCTTCTTTATCAGAGAGTCATCGGCCAGGAGGAAGCCGTCTCGGCTGTCGCCGACGCAATCCGTAATCACCGCGCTGGACTCACAGAAGATAAAAAGCCAATTGGGGCGTTTCTATTCCTTGGATCATCCGGTTAGTTAAGGACTCTCCTGTCTTATTGCTCTGCATGTCGGTTCCTTATGAGGGATGCCTGAAGGCCTCTTCCCTGAAAGTTCTACTAGGGAAGCCCTCGGTGGAGTTTGTACCTCTGGTATGACCTGTGGTTCTCTGAAAGTCTTCTCCTCTTGCCGCCATATCAAGGAGCACTTAAGTCTTTTGTGGAGCTGTTACTTGCTCAGGTGTGGGTAAGACAGAATTAGCCAAAGCCCTGGCAGAGGAGATGTTTCACTCTGAAAAGAATTTAATTCGTTTGGATATGGTGGAGTATCAAGAAGCCCACAGCATTTCCCGCCTTATTGGACCTCCGCCTGGATATATGGGTAACGATGAGGGTGGCCAGCTTACGGAGGCAGTCAGGCAGAAGCCCCACAGCGTCATCGTCTTCGATGAAGCAGAAAATGCACACAAAAATCTCTGGTCGCTCCTCCTGCCCGTACGTACAGCCCAGCCTTGCTTTTTTATGCTGGCAATCCCAGGCCGTTCAATAATGTCTTGATATGGGGTCTTCATTCTGCCATCGTTCGTGCATATGGCCCTGCCTCAATTCGCAAGCAGGAGGAAAATTGTGGTCCCTACTTTTCTGCATTTAAGCAGCATTGCACCGCACGCGACTTTCGTTGCATACCCTTCCTCGGTTTGCATAATCTGCTTCCTCTTATGTTTATCATTTTGTGCAGATGCTGGATGAGGGCCACTTAACTGACACGAAAAACGTAAGGGTGGACTTCACGAATACCATCATCATCTTGACCTCTAACATTGGACAACAGTTCATCCTTGATGCATACAGGGAGGCGCGGGCCATGGAGGAAGGGGCAGCAACTCCTCTGGCTCAGTTTAACAAGGGCACAAATAGTCTCGAAAAGTTCGCTGTAGCCAAGGCCGGAGCAACCGCCGTTGGCGAGCTCAGCGCAAAAGAGAAGAAGAACACTTCGGCAGAAGCAGTAGAGAAAAAGAAAGGCGAGCAGTGGAACACAGGGGGTTCACCACGGGAAGTCCTCAACAAGATGAGGCAGAAGGTCATGCAGGAAGTGGTTGGATACTTCAAGCCCCAAGTCATTGGCCGCATGACAAAAGTCGTCGTATGTACTCAGCACTTGCTAAACCATGCACTATTTTTTGCCGTTTCAAGACTCCACGATGCAGCTCCAATTTAGTTTGTTTACGCCTTTGTCTCTTTACATAAGGCAGCACACAGCGGCATGCTCGCCCTGGTGCATTGATAGCCTTGACAGCAATAGTGGCGCTCGTGCTGAGCGCAGCCAAGGCTTAAGTTTGTGAAGCTTGTGTAGATCGGGATTTGGGTGTGAAGTATCTCCACGGTTCCTCTGTGCTGCCTTCCATGCTGTGACATACTCTTGCAGATCTTTGAGCCACTGACCAACAGCGCAATGCGTGAAGTCTTGAACTTGATGTTTTCTTACATGATCAAGGAATTGAACAAGAAGGGCATCTCTTTTGAAGTCTTAGATTCAGCAAAGGCCTTTATTTTGGAACGTGCATGGTCTCACAAATTTGGTGGACGGCGGATGGCTAAGTAGGGTTTCCTAGCTGTGCTTCTACCCACCGAGGGATAGACAATTTTGCGAGAAGGCTTTTGCTGTGCCAGCCACCCTGCTTTGGTGGAGTCAACCAGAAGCAACAGAAAATACCTTTCGCAAAAAGGGTCGATTTACATCCGTGGCTTGTTTTTGGTTGTATGCACAATTCTCAGGTATATCGAGAAGTATATTACTGCCAAGATTGCTCCACTTATTCTCTCTTCACAACTCAAGAAGGGAGACAAAGCGCAGCTCAAACGTTCACCAAAGCAGCCCAACCAGCTTAACCTTATTGTGAGTTGATCACATTGCACGCACAGTAGCGCAGCAGTGAGCGCCGCTTATCCTGTGTTACCTTGGGCCTTTTGCTTTGGCAAGCGAGCATTGCTCGTACTGCACGCTTGTATATTTGCAACAAAGCCTTGTGATCTTTCGGCGTCTCTCAGACATCTACCCATTTGCCCGCCTCTGAAGGCGATACACCGCCTTGCGTCTGTTTGCTGCCCTGTGTGCTGTGTGCCTGCAGATTTGCGAAGAAGGCGAACACGGGATTTGCAAGCCCAGCACAAAGCGCGGACGGGCACTTGTGATGCAAGTTGCTAAGGCTTCAACTGCCGATGGCGAAGAAGAAGACCCAATGATTTAGAGCAAGACGTTCTTCGGGTCTAAACACTGAGACTCGTGCCATTTTGCGGATCAGGGGAATGTCGGAAGCAGCATGTAATTCAGTCAAGCGGTTGTGCGTTGAGGAGAGTGTCATGGTAGCGCTTAGATAATGGGGCAACCCAGGCAATGTGTTCGAGGAGATTGCGGCTCACGGTTGAAACACGAGGACCAGTAGCTGTTCTTTGACACCGTAGAAGGATCCAAGCCGCTGTCGACTTGGACACGCGAGGACAAGGATACAGACCAAACGGCAAGCGTGCGGGCGCATGCCCCACCCATTTCTCTCCGGCTACACTCAGAGCCGCACCCATCTGGGTCCGATCTTTTACTTATTCCGCAGAAGATGTGTGGCACAAGCTCTTGCTGCAACAAACTAAGCAGGTGTAGGGTGACGACGATTTGCTCCTTCGTTTTGTGAAACGCAGCAAAGAACTCGTACTGTTTGATGTATACGCATAGCCTGGCAGCATATTGCTTCTTCCTCCTTGCACGTCTCTTTCGTGTCTTGAGGGGCTCCGCGAGGCAATGGCTATGGCGGGACCATAGCAACCTCTAGGGTAAATAGTGCTCCGTATCAAGGACAAGAAGCCTCACATGCGGGATGTAATTTTTTGATCTTTCTTCCCCTAAAACAAAAAGACTGAATTTAAAGTGTGTCATTCAACTGCGTAACGTGGAACAAAGAATAGAGCTTTCTAGTCTTTTTTCAAACTGACACTCGCGGGTCCACTGCGATTGAAACCTAAATAAAGATAATTCAGTTTATATTAGTCATTTAGCAGGCGCGGGCAACTTCTGCGGGGAGGAGGGGGAGGGGCAGATGCAGGACTATTAAATATGCAAGTAAATGACACCTTCGCGCCTTGGCATAAGATGCATCATCCAGTTACCTGAGCTTCTAAATCACTCTATGTGCAGCTCCAGAAAGTCATTACTTTCCCGCTATCGTCTGGCAATCTCGTTTGAGCCAATACTTTGCGCAAGCAGCCTCCAACCGAGCAGATTATTGCTAATGACTCGTTTCCAACCCACAAAATCCGCCAGTTACGCCTATTTAAGTCTTCTGAGTAGCATTGCATATAGAATAACTTGCCACTTAAATTGCAGTGCGCCCCTTTAAGCTTCTGGAGGCTAGTACTCAGCACAAACTTCGACATTCCATTCTCCCGGTTTCATGCAAAGGGCTGATTAGGCTATCATTTTCTCCTTGTTGCACTCTGCAGGGCTATTGAGGAAGAATGCAAGACATGCGTGAGCCCCAAAACTTAGGCTTTTTCCTTTGACAAACAGAAAACACAGCCATGGGAGGAATCTGTTGGTGAAAAACAGACGGCTTTAATTCAAATAGGGGAATATCCTCCGCCCCCGTTAGATGCAAATCTACTTGCATCCAGTCTGCACCTGAAAATTCCAACCAATCAATGAATCTAGCCTTTTGCACTGGACAGGCAACACGAATCGTCCTGCCCGTTGCTGTCATACGAAAGTCCTCTGGTTGCCAACAGTCACCGTTCAAAAAGCGAAAAAGTTATGTGGCATATTAACCTGGCAAACTCGATTACACGAATAGCTGTAACCGAGCGCATCTAGTGCGATGCAATCACTACGCTTCTGGGCACGGCTTGGGTAGGGCGCTTTCTGATGCATGAGGGAGACACGATGGGCAATAGAGCAGAGTCTTCCAGTTGACAGAATGTACTTATTATGGCCACGCGAAGAATTCTACGCGGAAGAGTTGCCAATCCACCAGACCTCTGATCCCCAAGACAGTTCGCCCTCAGCCCACAACCTAGGCGTCTACCTTCAACGCCCTGCTTCACCGTGCGACCTCGTGTACTTGCCTGGCCAGGGCATCTCAAAGAAGGCTTTGACACATCCGTCCCATAGCCCGCGAGCATGTGACCGATTCTCCGAGGCTAGCCCTCGTTGCTGCTACCTCCTGCATACCACAGTGTCTCCAGGAAGAGACGCTTACTTTGGGATCACTCGTAGCAGGTGTCTTTCAGAAGTGCTGGCATCTGGTTTCTCCGTCTTGCGCCATACAGACAGCTTCCCGGTCTTCGTGATCTCAACTAGTGTTAGGGCCTAAGCGAAGTACGAACTGAAGACAAAGTCGAATCGAACACTTATTTGCTTTGGCTTCAATTTTCCGAGTCAGGTGAGTGGAAAGCTGTCCTGTGCGCCACATGGATTGCTGCGTAATTTATCGTACTTTCAGACACTACTTCATCGGCACGCACGCTCTCCCAATGTCGGGTTTCTTATTAGCGACTGTCGGCGCACTCGCGTTATGGTCACAGGTATTCATCCGCCCACATCCAGAGGAATCATCTGTAGCACTTCTATCTGCACTGCATTAAGATGTTCTTCCTGCCGACTCCACTACAAGCTCTGGCAATGCGCAGCTAGGAGTATCCCGGATTATATCATGAGTGGAGCCCATTTGCTTTCAGTAGGAGGCCATCAAAAGTTTCAGCAAGTCCATTCAGTTGCTTTAGGCGCAATTAGATGTGGTTGGCCTCAGCGTCAAAGCTCTTCGCTAATCCGAAAAACTGAAGAATACTGATATTGGGGGTGAGTTGTTTGCACCGTCATGGCGCATGTCTCTTACTAAACCCACTGCCTGCACAAGGACTCCTCGGATGGCTGAGGCTCGTTTTAGCTCTGCTACGGTTCGGGAATCAGATTTCGGTTACCCTTGAAGCACTATTTATGACCGAGAAGCATTGTGGTGCTGCGCTGTGGCTGATGCCTGGACAAACTGTGCTGTCGCTTGATCGGAGGATGTGCTCCATGCGCTTTACTCTGAGTTCCATTCTCCGTCGGACAGGCCTTTCGCTACTATAAGCCCTTGTCAGTCTAATCCCGAATCCAAGGGTCGTTCGTACCCTCGTGCTCTCCTGCTTGAAGCTCATATGTCCTACTTTTTCGGACATGTGAACGAGCAGATACTCGTATACTGCAGACGCAGAGCTGCACATGGAAATAACTAGCTGAACCTAACCTAGCGCAGATCTGAACGGGTAGATCGCGGCCGTATACATCCATGCGCGCTGTTGCATCCGCTTCCAGATAAGCAGCTGTCTTCAAAACATATATTGAAAATGATATCGTTTGATAGGAGCGTATGTTTATCCTGCGCCTTGAAGTTTCACTTGTTATTTATCATTGAGTGCAATATTTCACAGGGTCGATGAAAGGGGCAATCACTGCTATCCACATAGAATCAAGACGAGAATCCTGTCAATTACTCGCGCCTCATTTGTAAAATGCGGTGGGGATTTTCACGGGCCTCATGTTGCAACGACTCACACCGTTGAGTTCCTTGCAGCGTTTTACCCGAATTCCTTTTTTTGTTAGTGAACCACCTTTACATGGAGTCGGCAGATGTCAGAAACCAGTGCGTTTGTAGCCGTGCTCTGCATCTCAATTATCGACACGATCAGCCGGCTCTCTTCCAAGTGATTTTACTTTCCTTAAAAGCCCCTTTTCATCCGCACGGTACCGGAAAGCATTAGTTTCTTCCGAAGAAGCCTCGGGAACACTCGAAAAGCTCCTTCGCCACAATGTGCATGCATGTACGTACAGTCTTCCTCCTTATGTGCGTAGGCCGACTGTGCCCCGTTTTCTTAGCTGTCGAAAACCCAGTGGTGATGTAGTTCACTAATAGATAGGTGAAAAGCGCCTGCCTGTGCAGTGTTAGCCTTCAAGTTCATCGAATGTGAGGGCGCGAGCTGCCATATATGTAAGAATACATCAAGTCAGTGCGGCAGTTATCTTGACCTGGATTCTTCTTTCAACATACAGATAGGTCTGTGGAAAACGCTTTAGCATTGCCGTAGCATGCCAGCAAGGTTCATTAGGTCCATAAATAAGGCAGCTGTTTCATGTTATCTCTCAACCTGCGTGTGCGATTCCCAACCAAAATTGTCTGTCCGACGTTCACTCGCCGAAATATATGGTTACATTTTACCTAACGAATTAAGCGCCAGCACGTTACGCTTCAACAAAAGTGTTTAAACAGGTCCATTTGCAAATAACAACGTGAGAGAGGTTTGAATAGGAGAGTTTGTTGTAGATGTTGCTTATCATTAAGAAAATCACACTTCTTTTCCCTTCCCTCGGCAAGCAAATCTGTCTGCGCAAAGAGTACGCCCCATTTGTAGCGAGCCGAAGCCTGCCTTGACACGGGCCACTATTACAGAGCGACTGCTTGGAAGTTACTATTCCTCGGGCAATCGGAAGGCGTGAATTATGCATCAACCCAAAAACCACCCCAGACGAGAGAATCTGCGCTTGTTCTTCGACGTGCGCGACACATCACTGTGTACTGAAAGCAGAGGAGATATTGATCTATAGGACATGCCACCGCTTCTAGTCAGTCTGGAGCAGGCATTGTAGCAAAAGCACTACTAATACATACCGGCGTATAGAACAGCACGCAGCGCATGAAACGAGATCGCAAGGCCTAAAGCTAGGGTGTGCTCGAATGATGGCAAGACAACACCACAATGCTCGCTGATGGTGTGACGCATGAACGCACATCTAAATTACTCTGATGAGGAGCAAAGACAGCAGACAGTCTAATTGAGAAGGGTGATTTACCAGCGTAGACTACAAGTCCACCAAACGGGTGAGCAGCGTGTAGCTCCCCTTCTGGTGACCCTGATTATGGCGCCCATAAGCTCGTTCGTTTTGGCACTCCGCACTTCATGCAACGGATGCCGAGACATCAAGACTGCGATCGGCATTCAGTAGAACCAGGATTACGCACACATCTCACGCGTAATACTCAGAACTACAGGCTTCTAAATGCACGTTTCCATTTTTGGCACAGTGCAGGCGTAGCGAAGCCGCTGAGATGGCAATGGGCCTCGTCTCAGAGGGCGACAGGGTACACATCCCTGATCCATGCTCTTTGAAGGAAGTACCCATCAATAAATGATAGCTGTACGGTTTGGAGCGCCACTCCAATTTTAGAAAGCGCACGCAAGCATAGCAGAAAACCTACCTAGCTCCGAACTGTGTGCAGAAGCCTCAAGAGGTGACAACATACGAGGCGTCCTTTGCAAATCCGGCAGTGCCAACAGTGGTCCATCCTTTTTTTCGTCTCTAATGCTGGCCTCAACGCGTCATTGGGGGAAGCCTCATCGTGTAAAACTCAGTGACTTTCTCCCTTAGGTGGACCACAAAGGCGTCTTGGCGCTCTTCGTGATACCATGCATTTGTGCAATCGTGCCTTCCTGCGTTTGTATTTTGTGATCTCATTTGCGTCTTATTTGTATTCTGGTTCGTTTTGTGTACCCTAGTCGGCTTTTCCTCTGCATGTGGTTCATTTATCTTGCCCGCTGCCTCAACCCCTCGACAGGGGAAACAGGGACTTCTCCATATATATATCTTCCTGTACCAAATTGATACCCAAGATGCTACACATTACTGTATTGATGAAATCGGTTCTATACTGAAGGCAGCCTGCAGAATGTAGCCGCAGTGCATCGGGGTCCACCATTACAGGCCTCTAGTCTTGCCCACATCGTCAGCTACAGCACGTAATTTTCCAGTCGAAAAACCTGAAATTTGCACAGCTAGCCAGTTGACCAACAGTCCATACACCGGAAACCAACACAAGGGAGTTACTAGAGTCCCTCAAATGTTTCCGTTGTGAAACGGAAACAAAGGTTAAAGATGGCAGGAAAGAGACCTGAGTCTTATTCTTTCGCGTAGCTTCTAAATAGCAACAGGCAACAGGGTAGGCTCATACCGCAAGCATATCAGTCTGCTGACTCCGCTACAGAAGCCCTGATGATCTTGACATCATGCAGCGGTCTGTCCGTCTTGGTAGTCTGAACCAATGATAGTTTCTTAAGAGTATGGATGCCACCGCATACTCTTCCAAAGATGGTGCTTTTCCCGTCTAACGTGGGGGCCGGCCCAAGCAGTAGAATGAACTGCGAAGTATTGGTGTTGGGTCCATGATTTGCCATCGTCAGTACACCTGCGCCTGTGTGGCGTAGTTCTGCAGCATTAACCCAGAGGCAACCTAAATCGCAAGCATTCTGTGGTTTGATGACCCCTTGACGATCAAGGAACCGTAGGCAGGATCCATAAGAAACAAGACTATCAATAAGCGCCCAGATATCGCAGTAAAAAGGCACTTTCTAGCTGATCGGGCAGTACGAATACAGATCCCTCTAATCAACATTGTCAGGGATCTAAAAAAAAAACCCTCTAGGTCTCGATTATCGTTGTCTGCCCTTTCTTGCTTCTGCACCTGGATGTATTTCATCCACAAATGACTTTCCGAAAATAGAAACTCCCCCCCTTCCGGTTCCCGTTGGATCTCCTCCTTGCGCCCACCTCCCCTGGCAGACTCTGTGGAAAACTGTTCCATCGTAGCATCCCGTCTTTGCAAGAAGAAAGAAGTTGATGCAAGCCCGCGGCGCGTGACACCAGTAAAGTTCTAGGTGTATATCTCCAATCGTCGTATGAAGGCAGACCCGGCGAGATGAAAGAAGCGCGCCAGAAGCGCGAACTGCCTCTACTGCCGCTTCCACTGCAGCCGAGTCTGACGCATCCAATGAGTCTAAAAGTGACGAGATTGAGGACGATGAGGAGGGACCTTGAGACACAAGGGCGCCAAGAGAACCCTGCTGTCCATCTGAATCCTCTGCGTGTGCAGTGCCACGCGTCCGACGGGTTTCCGCTAGAGCAAACATCCTCAAGACGCGAATACAGACACGAAGAAGTCCACGATTCGCGACAACAGGCGTGGTGGAAGGAGCTACAGCGGTGCGGCGTGTCACATAACAAGGCGTCAGGGCCTCTGCTTCCCGGGTGACAAGGTTCTAGAGGAGGGCTAGGCAGATCTTCTGTTGCATGCGTACTTCCCTAAAAACAAGCTGCTGCACCTCCTGCTAGTCTTGCTGCTAAGCTGCCACCTGCTACAGCAACGGGGTAGAAGCAGCCTAGCACATTAAAAAGTTACGAGAGTGAGGAGAGAACTTTGATTGCCTACTAAGGCCCGCTTTAGAGCCTCTCTTGGGGCTCTCTCAGCAGAGGACGACGAAGACGGGATCCCCTGCGATAAACGGATTCGCAAGAGTAGATGGATAGAGCGGATTATGCTTCTCGCGTATGTTTTGATGATAATAAAGGGATTAAGTGGAACACCAACAGCTTAAAATGCATGCGCGCAGCCAATTTGGACCCGTCAGTAGTAGGAGCGGCAGCAGCAGCAGCATTACCAGTAGCAGTATAGGAGCAGTTGCATCGAGCGGAAGGTGGAAGAGCGGACGCGCATACTACATAATCTGGTTTCTGTCTTGCACTTTGCTTTGAAGCTTTTATAGTTTGACTTCATCCTTCCTTTTATGATTCCATTGTTTTTCCTCGTTCCCCCTCCAACCGAGTTTTGCGTCTCTGCTTCCGCCGGAGGAGGCCGAGCGCCTCTCGAGGCAGCTGAAGAGCCTTAGGGGAACTGCAGCCTCTGCAATAGCCAATGGCATTTATTTGGCGTCCACTTGTCGTTCCTCACAATAAGCGGTGCATTAGCACTTAGCTGCGGCAGTACAGGAGCAAGCGACAGGGGCAGCAGCTTATGCAGCTCGCCGCATTCCTAGCGACTGAAATAGAGCAGCAGCCCTCGCTAGAGAAGCTTTTGGGAGGCCCTGAACCTCCTGCGTTCCCCTCTCTTAAGCAGCCAATCTGGGGTGCATTCAAAGTGGCAGCTGTAGCAGGAGTGGCAGCAAAATGTTGCGGTGGCTGCGGAGGGTGGCGTCATTGGCGCTGTTGCTGCTTAGTGGCGGCAATGACATGCAAGAGGTTTCAGCGAGTTTACCACTAAGGCCAACCCCTGATCAGGTCAGTCAGAGGGCTGGGGCATCACATCGTGCTGGCATTTTTTCTGGTGCTACTCATGGCCAGTACAGCAACTCGCGGATGCAGAAGCTGCACACAGAGGGCCCGCATTGCCTCCATCTAGGCTGTGCTTGTGGTCATTCCTACCGCTAATGTGGGTGGCCTAGACTCAGCGTGCTCGAAGAGGATCCGACTCGGAGGAGGGCGAGATGCTCCTTCCCCTGCATTGTTGGCCTACAGGACGGCAAAGCGCCTAACGTGCTCTACGAGCGTTTGTTGGCATTGCTTTTGCGACTGCAGCGCGCACCTTCGGAGCTCAATTTCGATGTGCAGCTTATGGTGGAGACGATGGATGTTTTTGCGTGGCACATGCATCATGACAGAATCGCCCTCGCCCACCTAATCATGGTCCTTTTGGAAGGCTCGAGGCTTGAAAGTGAGAAGCCTTGGGGCCCACAGCTGCGTGTGTACACCCCTGCATGCTTCGTGGATGTAAACGTTCGTACAATTGGTCATGCATGGGTACCTACTGCTTGCATGGATGAACGCACGCATCTTCAGGCACCGTGAATGAGAGTGGGGGATCGTGTGACGCCCCTCGAACCTTCATACGCTTGGCTGCTATCTTCCCCGCGCCTATTCTACTCTGCTTATAACAACATGTATATGCAAAGAAATGAGCCTTTCACGTGTCCTTCAGCAGCCAGCCTTCCCAGTTAGATGCCGAAAGCTATATATTTTTCTCGCTATACTCTCGAAGAGAACTTTACTGTCTGCCCCTTCGTGTACCGTGGTGTCTCTTGTGCTGCAGCTCCGCGGGAGGTAATCACGCGGTGCAAAGGCGATTTTACACAGGTTAGGGGTATAGTCAAGAACGTCCTTACTCGGCTCCCCCGCACGCCTGTAAGTACAGTCCGCAGGTGCCGGGCGGTGCCGTTGGTTTACCCATGCAGCAGGGAAAATACCAAGGAAAGGGCATGTGCTGTGCTGTTTCTTGAACTAGCCTTATTAGCAACTCGCTTGAACTTGCCCTTGCTCCCACCACGCCTCTGGTTACTCCGTAGCGTGTGGGTTTGTCCGTGTTGCTTGGTGCCTGATAGTAGACACCCGACGCGCTGCGTGTATTATAGTGGCACTCATGCGTGGCCATACGCGCAACACGGCAGTGCAGCAATAACACTGCAGATAACCAGAACTTCATTAAGCCTGCGTTGCGAAACAAGAATTTGCACAACTGGAAACAGTTCTCTTATCTCTCGTGTTGTTGGCGTCTCTGCTGCATTGCACCCGTATATACAGCTCCCCCAACACTTCCTACGGCGCCAGTTTTGCACGCGAGTGTATGACTCACGGCTGTTGCGGCTGCCTGTGCTGCGTTCGCAGGTTACCGTGCCCCTTGGGAAAGCGGAGCTGACCCCGGCAGTGCTGGAGGTCTTTCTGCGTGCGCACCGAATGGCGGCGGCTGAAGGCGCCCTTGTCGGGATGCAGCACGTCTTTCTCGTACTCCTGCAGTCCCCTACATTCTACAAGATTCTCTTGAATAGTGGTTGCGATATTGACATCTTTAAGGAGTAAGCTTCATGCTTCAAGCCACGCAGCAATTTCAGAGTTCACCCGTGTGCGGCTAGCGTTCTGCCTGCTCTTTGCCCAAGACCTCCTGATTACCCTCTAGCCTCCGTTTCTCTCTCTGCTACTGGTTTTAGCGGTTTCCTCCTCAGGGTGTAGACCCTTTCATCTGTCTAAGGCTCCGTGTCGCTGCAGCGAGTTGGCGCTGGCATACAAGAACACGCCGATGCCGGTAACTTCGGGCACCACTCATCACGTGTCTCAGGACTTCGACTTAAGTCAGTACGGAGAAGACCTTACAGAAAAGGCCAGAAATGGGAGGTTGCAGCCTGTTATTGGCAGGCAGGACGAAATTGACAGAATCGCTCAGGTACTACCCATGAGATGAGCCCCGAGGCCAAGAGGCACACAGAGAATGTATAGGAGGAGGGAGGGAAGGAGGCAGAGAAGAGGAGCTCCATGGGGTTTTTGCGTCCGGTTCGGGAGTAGCTCATTCGTGCCTAGTGCCTCGTGGGTATGGAGTGTGTATGAGGGTTGGCAACGGTGGCACAATGCTGTGAGGGGGAGGAAGCAGCTACGCGCGTCGGGTGTGTAAACAGGCTGTGCAGGTTCTGCTGTGCCTCTTCTAGCCATCATAATGTGCATGCAGTGCGCTTCTTTCCGGTGGTCATGTTTTGTTCCTCAGATTTTGAGCCGCATGATGACAAAGGCCCCCCTCCTCATCGGGGAGCCTGGCGTTGGAAAAACAGTCATTATTGAGGGCCTTGCTCAGCGCATTATTGAAGTGAGTACCGGTGGTATGTCGCGTGTATAGTTCAGGGTTTCCTAGGGTAGCTTGTGTGTACGCATGCTCGCGAAGTACGTTTTGGTGACCTCTGACGATTGCTGTTCGAGCTTGTTATAGCTGCTTGTTTGGGATGCAGGGAGCAGTGCCTAGGGCATTGCGTGGACGCCGCATCTTTTCTTTGGATTTGCTCAATTTGTCCGCCGGCACGTCCATGCGTGGAGAGTTTGAAAAGAGGATGAAGGAGATTATCAGTTACTTGCAGGAACATAAGAAGAGTGTCATTCTATTTGTCGACGAGATCCACTCTCTCGTCGGCGCAGGCAAGGCCGCTGGCTCCTCGGATGCCACACAAATCCTCAAGGTGCCACTCGCCAGAGGAGACATTGTGTAAGCAAGACAAGGCATGAGGCAGCAAAGCCTGCTTACCTGTAACTCTGTCGGTGCTTTGACCTCTCACCGCTTCTTGCGGCCTATGCTGCCACCTTGTTCTTGTGTACATGCGCGCAGGCTGGTGGGTGCCACTACGCTTGAGGAGTACAAACTGCACATCGAGAAGGATGCCGCATTTTGCCGGCGATTTCAAAATATCGTCGTGGAAGCCCCATCAAAGGAGAGCGCCATGTGTAAGCCACCAGCTGTGGCTGCTTTCGATGCAGGACTGTGTACTTCTATTTTTTTGATACCCTTATTTGTGTACCTCCAAACTTTTGTTGCGTGATTTCATTGTTGTCCTTTTTTTGCATACATGAGTTTGTGCGGTAAATGGCTGTGGCTTTCCAAAAGCTGCCTGATGGGTCTATTGGTCTACGTGTGCGTATGTGTTTGCACCAGCAATCCTGCTGGGGTTGAGGCATCACTACGAGCAGTTTCACAATGTAGATATCTCCGAGGAGGTGATCGACCAAATCGTGAACCTGAGTGACCGATACGTAAAGCAGCGCTCATTCCCCGACAAGGCAATAGACCTTTTAGATGAATCCTGCTCGTGGAAGAAGGTGTCTTACAACAAGCAGCTCGTCCTGCTTAGGAAGAAAATTTCATCAGCGGAAATGCAGGGCTCCGAGACCGTAAGCAGGATTTCACAAGGAAACACTTTGGTGGGAACTATTAGTACCCTTTCAGTTGTGGACCCACGCAACTTGCTACCGCTGATCAAATGGCTAGCTCAGTTTATCTCTCTCTCTCCATCTGATGCTCTCTCTCCCTCCGTGCCGCTGCATACCAAGATGTTGCGTGCCTCTCACCCCTTCTGCCTAAACATGCCTCCGTATGTTAGGCCTTGTGTCTTGCGTGCTTGCACAGACGGAAGAGGACCTGAAGGCCATGAGAGAGGAACTTGCAGCGCTAGAGGCCCTCACTGCAGTAAGCTTTTCCTCCCCTCTTCTCATATTTTCCTGTTATGGCTCTCGTACTCTCTCCATCTTTCTTCATCCTCTCTTTTCGCGTGTTTTTCTGCTGCGGATCGCTCATGGACCTCTAGGTCTGCGTATTCTTCTGTGCCCTCTGACCAAAGAAAAGGATGGCCTTTACCTCCTGACTTGTGCTTTGTCTGCGCAGGGTGGAAAGCGCCTGGAGCTGACGGTACACGATGTGGCACATATCCTCAGCATTTGGACCGGCATTCCCATGGGAAAGATGACGGAGGACGAGATCTCAAGGGTTCTCCGGCTCGCAGATATTCTGTCTCTGGTGAGAGTTCGCTGCTGCTTTGAGCCGATTTATCCTGCTTTTGCTGCTTCTGTATGTCGATGTCTTTATCATATGGTGCAATTGCACCGAGAGGGCTGTTTCTGGTGCAGAAAGTGGTGGGCCAGTACCAGGCGGTGAAGGCGGTGTCTGACGCCCTGGCGATCCAACGCGCCGGCCTCAGTCCAAGAAACAAACCGTTGGGATCCTTCTTGTTCCTTGGCTCTTCTGGTCTGCTGATGCCCCCCCCTCCCTTCCCCTCCTGCCATTTCTGTATTCGTGTCCTCTGGGGAGATGTAGTTTTTCCATATAGTGGCAACCGAAAACGTTCTGGTTCTTGTCTGGCGTCATCCACTACTTTTTGCTTAGGTGTTGGTAAGACAGAGTTGGCGAAGGCAGTCGCCCAAGAAATGTTCCACTCAGAAAAGAATTTGATTCGTTTGGACATGGTGGAGTATCAAGAAGCCCACAGCATCTCCCGTCTTATTGGACCTCCCCCGGGGTATATGGGTAACGATGAGGGTGGCCAGCTCACGGAAGCAGTCAGGCAGAAGCCCCACAGCGTCATCGTCTTCGACGAAGCAGAAAATGCACACAAAAATCTCTGGTCGCTCCTCCTGCCCGTATGTCTGAAGAGCCCTCCTTCCCCTAAAAAACTCCGTGTCTTTGCCTTCCTTGCCAGTAAATATTGTGTCGTCAACAATCCCTTTCCTCGCCAGTATATGTCAAAGTGCTTAGATCCACACGTACACATCTGCTTCCCCCTGTGTCTGTCCGCGTTACGTCTGTGTGAGTGAGTCCTGTTGCCCGTCTGTCTCGCTCCTTTGTGCCTTGCATTAGGCAAGCTTGGGAAGGCGTTTCTTTCTCTTTCCTGCTACGCCCTATTGGCAAATCTGTAAGCGCTGTGATTTGCTTTTCCTGCTCTTGTTCCCTGCAGATGCTGGACGAGGGTCACTTGTCAGACTCTAAGGGCAACCGCGTGGATTTCACCAGTTGCCTGATCATTCTTACCTCCAACATTGGGCAGCAATTTATTCTCGATGGCTATAAGGAGGCCCGCGCAATCGCCGTGGGCAATAAGGCTATTGGCCCATCTACAAGCGACGAAGGCGGGAAGGGTGGCGCTGGCGCTTCCGGAAGTTTCAAAATTCCCGGAAAGTTGCCGTCTGACGTGCTAAAGAGAATGAGGCAAAACGTGCTCAAGGAGGTCTTTGGATATTTCAAGCCCCAAGTTATTGGTAGAATGAGTGAAGTCATTGTAAGCCACTGAGACGCGCAGATATATATGTACATGCATATATATGCAGACACACACGTGCGCGCACATTTAAATCCACACGAGCTACTAGGCTAGTACGGAACTTGAAGGATTCATTCTTGTTCATGAAGAAAGACTGTTTCTGCCGAATGCAAATATATACCCTTGGTGTCTGAAAGTATCTTTGCTTAGTAAAGCAGCTGGCGCTGGAGGAGATGTATGCATACATGGGTGTCCGCTTATCCGGCAGTCAAGGCAGTTTTGGACATTGTGCTGCCTTATCCTTCGGTTCATGAGCCTGCTGGGTGTGCTGAACCATCGGTTAGTCGCTATCGTAAGCCCAATGCATTTGTTCCGTTAGACTTTGCTATCTTCAGATTTTTGAGCCACTGAACGAGCAAGCGATGAAGGGTGTGCTTGGCCTAAAACTGGCTGCCCTCGTACAGAGCATGGCCAGCAAGGGAGTCGACTTCAGGGTCACGAATTCGGCGATACAGTTCATCTTGGAAAGGGCGTGGTCCTACAAGTATGGTGGCCGGCGAATGGGCAAGTGCGTCTTTAGCTCTTGCGTGGTAGTGATAGATCCACAACAACCATACCTTGCTTAGCGCTCAATCCCAGTGGCATACAGGGTTACTCAACAAAGGCACCCTCGTGCCAGCAGTGCTTGCTGCTGCTACCCAATTGTTTTAAGACTTTTGAAGGGCATGTTGATGCTTTTCTCCAAGGATACTTCCTCCCCGGCGCGTTCTAGAGGCCTTTGTTCCTCGGCATTTTCAGGTTGTGTGTCTTTGTGACACTTCTGCATCTTTGGGGCGCCGCTGTGCAAATTCCTCTTGTATGCGCCTCAGATACCTCGAGAAGTACATCAAGTTCAAGCTAGCGCCATTGTTGATCTCTGGGAAGTTGAAATCAGGAGACAGGGCTATCCTCGCGCGTTCCAAAGTCAACACCAACCAGCTTATTCTTATCGTAAGTCTTCAGTTCTGTGTATGGCCATATTTCCTTTAGCGGGCTGGAAATATTCCTGCGACACTTGGCTGCTATGACTGGGCGCACTGCGCGGCGTTTGCCCCATTTCCAACGACACAACACGCCATGGAACACCGCCTGGCCTCGAGCGGACCCACACCATGCATTCGATGTTGTCGCCACCCTCCACCACTCCGAACCCAAGCATTAGGTCGTCGGTCTTGTGGATGAAGCAGCGAGTTTTCTTATATCGGAGGGGTTAGTCACAACCTCTAAGGGTACTTACCCCCTGATTGTGCAATCCGCTGTTCTTGTGTAGGTCTGCGAGCTGGACGATACGGGTACGTGCTTGACTGGAACAAAATACGGAACGAAGCTAGTAACCCAGGAGGCCAAAGCACAAGATGCGGATGATGGGGAAGAATCCATTGAATGAAGAGCTCGCGCGCCTTAGCCATGCGCTGGGGAATGCTGTTGCTCCTCCAAGGGGACTTGAGCGAAACGGATCCAGTTGTGGGGGGAAGGTACCAAGGAAAGCGGACAGGCAGTAGAGTACTTACCTGAACACGCATGCAGTATATATGCTTCAAACTGTAGTTGAAAGAGAGTCCTGCTTCTTTAGTATTGTGTGCCTAGCTACGCCTAAGTTCCTCTTGGGCTCGGACGCAGCTCGGCCTTATCTCCCGCAGGGAGTTGTGCTCAGCAGGCATCGCGCTGCAACTTTGGGAAACGCACGCAAAATAGGCAGGTTACTTGATGGCGTGTCCAGGGAGCTTCAGTGCACATGACATACGGGGGTATCTGGCAAGTTGGCTAGCCTACGAGATTGCAACAGGTTATCGGGGGATCGAGTGTTTCTGGCTGCTTGTCTACCCTCGCGCTCTCAAGTGCGGCCTTCTTATGTAGTGTGGCCTTCTGCTCCATCCTTTCCTCTGCTCCCTGAGGGAGTTTGTTTGTTTGGCTGTCGGACGATTATCCGGCGGAACTCAAGGTGCCGGTGACGGTCATTTCAAGGCTCCAGACTCGTGCTACTTTTGACAACCAAAGTGACAAAGAATAGCTCATAAATGTTGTGGTCGTCATAGGTTTGCATACATGGGGTCCAGGGGTTCAGAAGACAAAGAAGAATGGAGACAGACATTGTTGTGTGCACAGCCTGGGGGGGGTCGTCACCCTTGTTGCTTGGCGCTGGTGTGGAGCCTTGGATGTAGGTATAAAGTCACAACTAGCCTCTGTCGGTGGCAATCAATAGGGTTAAGAATTAGCAGCGCGGTACGGAGATCTCGTGAGGAACAGTTACGGCTTGTACTTCGTTTCGAGACTCTGGGATTCTTGTGTGCTTTGCCGTATTCCCGGTTGGCGAAATAATGGTGATCTGTTGGGGGCCTGCGGTGTCGTAACATTGATCATTGTTCTCTACCAGTTGAGCGGATTCCCGTCTCTTCCTGCTAGAATGTGGGCACTAGCCTCCAAGCAGAAACATTGAGCATCTCTACTGCTTGGCATCTTCGAGGGACCGTTGACTGTGTTTTCTGATGGGAAGCGGTCGTTGGCAGAATACACGGCGTAGGTATCTGCATTGAGAATTATTTTTGGCATTGCAGCCGAAAGACTCCTCGTGGGTGCGAACCCCTGGCATGCCTCCTTAGCTGTTTGCAGGCACATTTGCGGAGTCACTGATTTGTTTTGAAGGATAAGATGCAACGGGATGGGGGCGGGCGGGGGCGCTGCGCGCTTTCCTAGGGCCTAAAGAGAAATTCTTGAGAGCTGTGCCTTTCACATGGACATGTAGAGGGTCAGCTTGAGGCCTTTGGAGACGATGTCCAAGTGTGCACGATTGCATGGGAGGCCGGCACCAGGACCACCGGAGAAAGGCTGGTGCTACGGGCTCGGTTCTCCTTTCCACGTGAAAGGGGCAGCCTCACACATGCGCTATTAAGAAAGCCATCACGCATATCGACGTCCTGGGGAGCAAACATGGGTTGTAGAGGGATTTGTAAAGGAGGGAGAGAATGCGCAAATCTTCAAATAATATTTTACGTTTTGGCTTCTAAACAGCACCGACCCGAGTAGCAAAGCGCAAGCTGTGCATTTGCGCTCTGCCCTTTAGATTTTATGTGCTTTCTCGAAAAGTGCCTTCAAGATCACTTGTTTTGTCTACAGGGGAAGCAGCAAGGTACGAAGGCAGACCAACAATAACTCTGTAGTACGGGCCCATTGGTCCCTTTCCCCTCCCTAATTTACTCCTGGAATGATCCAGTCGCTCCTTCCCGTGCGAGCATCGGTGTTAAACGTGGCCTTGCGCTGAAGCAACAGAGCAAGGCAACAGCGGTGGTAGTCTAGTCTCGCTTTCCCGAGAAATCGTGACCTGAACACCTGCTCCTCCTTTCTCTCGTATGCACACACTCCAGCGTTTTGTGGCGCAGAAGCTATGTCATACACCAACTATGTATTGCCGGCTTTGTTCTCAATCAGGCTAGTATCACTCAGTGCGTGTTGCTCAGGGAAGTCCATGCGGATTAATGGGGTTCAAACTCATTCCCATTGAGTAGTTGAGTCCCTCCCTAGCACAGCCCGAACACCCAAACAATGCTTCGATTAATCTGGGTGTGAATTGGCTAACAGTGCCGGTGCGGCTACCCTAGCTTAGGCTTTGCAGTTGCTGGGACAAATACTGCGCACCTGGGCACGTCTCACCGCACTACTTGTAGTCGTTCTCGGGAAAGCACCGTTTTCCATATAGTAAACCCACGGCATGTCTGTAAGTCTCTGGGTCCTGATTCTTGGTCAAAAATAATGGCAAAGGTACTGGGCAGCGAGGAAGAAAAACGCTCAGCAAGGAGGCACCCTGTGCATCGATAGACAGGAGTCCATATCTGCCGCATGACGCGCCCTGTCCACTTTTTAGCCCCAAAGCTTGTCTGTGCATGAAAAATGAAGAGGCGGCAAGAGAAAAGGTATATAAAATGAACTGGGAATAAGCGTTTTGTTAAAGTGCTTGGCGGTGACTAGGATCTATGTGGCAACGAGTGACTAGGTGAAAACACAGCGACTCTGTCCTTCTGCCACGCTCAAACGGGAAATACGGTCGCAAATGTTCTGTTATCATCCATTTTGCCTTCCTACTAGTGTCTTTCACGTTTTCAAGGGCTCTTAAGGATTTGAAATGCAAGCCCTACTGGGCAAGGAGACAGCTACGATTACCCATAAAACACCGCATTTGACGCTGGTGTGCGGTACACTCTTCTTATGGGCACGATAATATCATATCAGCAGTCGACGGAGATTTCAATGCTGCCTTTCTGGGTGCTTCAACAGCAGCGAGGGAACGTCGTTGGTCGCAAGAAGGGGTACACGGAGGTTCAGGAATGCCAGTGCTCGGCTCGAGGGTCTAGCAAAGCTACAGTGATTGACAACCGAAACCCCTTTCTTACCACTTGCTGTAAATCGAAACGATGAACTGCCCTCCCGCCCCATCTTCAGATATACAACTCGCTGCGCATGCGGTGCTGCCTCAGCAGTAAGAAAGAAGCGGACAGTTGGTTCACGGAGCACAAGGGGCGACTAGATCAATGTATTTTCTATCAACTAGAAGATATTGACTGATCTATGTTCATGGGAAAGCAGGAACAAAGACATGGCAATGCAACTGGCTAGAACAGTGCAGCAGTAGTTCGCCTCCCAGTGTATTCGCAGACACGTCAGTTTCAAGGCTTTAGAGGGTCCGCTGCCTCTATATTCTTCTGCTTCATATTTTCGCCTTTCCAAAGTCTGCTAGAGGTGGCGATTTCTCCGTTTCCCGCCTGCTACCCCTTTTGTTCTTCGCTGGTCCTCTTCCCTGTTGCCTCGGCCGCAGCCTGCAGCACCTAAACCAGACGCTCGACCGCAAAAGATGGCTTTAGGTGGAAGGATTTGCCTGTTGGCCTGTATTATAGCAGCCGTATGCGCCACAAATAGCCGTGAGGCGCAGGGAGCTCCACGAGCAGTAACTTACGGCAGCGCCATTGCCCTTGTTCACGAAGCATCAGGACATAAGTGAGCGCGCATGCGCTTTCTTGCCTTCCGGATTCAACAGCCTCTATCTGCTGCTGCTACTAAGGCCTTGAATCCTGCGTTCTGCGGGTGTGCACTGCTGCGGTAGCCTGTGTTTACACTACCGAAGCTACTGCACTCGCAGAGAAGGCTGCCGCCATGAGATTATGCGACAAAGCTCTTTGTCTGCTTCTCTTCAGGCTGTACTCGGGCAAGATTTCCTGGGGCTCGGGCTCTGTTGGTCAAGCAGTGGTGCGTACAGCACCGTCAAACGTGCCTTGTCTTTCTCCCACGATACTTATTGAATAATCTCCTGTTGTTTGGTATTTCGGCCTGCATGGCCTCCAGTTTGCATGTATTCGATTTTGAAATCATCTGACTTTTTTACCTAGGAAGGTTGCACTGGCGGCATGTAGGCTGCATCTTCCCGCAATTTTTTCTATGTTTGCGACTTTGTTGCCCTACTTGCGCATTCCAAAGAGAGTGCTCCTCTCCCTAGTTGCGGGCATAGCGAGCCGAACACTACCGTTTGTCTGTCTTGATGGCGCAGACTGCCCAGCCAGCAACGGATGCAACCGCGTCCCTCTGGTCGGTGCGCGCTGCAGCCCTTCCTGCTCCCTCCCCGTTGGACCCCCAGCAGCCAGCTGGCTCTCCTCCTCCCACAGTCGGCGCCGGAGTTCCTGTGCGCTGCGGCAGCTCTGTTGTTCTCGAACACGTAGGCAGCCAGGCCCTCTTGAGGACTGGACCTGCAGAGGCCCCTCTCTCACCGAACCACGAGGCAAGGCCATAGTAAAACGATTTCCCGGATTTGGTATTTCTACCTACTGTTCTTTTGTGGCTGCCTATTGACACTGGCCCGATCACCCTCTTGAGTTTATTAGGCAGTGGAGCTGCGCTTGCCGCATCCAGTTGTGCCCCTCTTGGGGGTTGCTCGTCGTCTAATTTTTCCCATGCCTCACGGTTTTACCCTGTGGTCATTGTATCACATGCCCGTATCCGGAGTTCATGAGCGGCGCTGCTAGTGCTGGTTCATTGTTTAATGCTGCAGGTCGGCGCGGCCTTAGTTCCTGAGGGCAGGGACTCTCGGTTTGTCGTCGAATGCACGGGTGACGGAGACGTGTGGCGAGTGGGCCACCCTGTGAAACTGCGAAACATGCTCCTAGGCGCCAACCTTCAGGCCTCCCAGCAGCACGCGTAAGCACCATTTTGGCTTTGGGTAGATGATGAATATTGACGACTTCCCCACTGCGCCAGGTGGATTCCCTGTTGAGCGCTGCCAAGAAGACGAGGCGTCGGACTATCGTCATGACATAGATTTCAGAGGCTTGAAAGTGCCTACTTCTTTCATTGGCGCCCTTCAACCAATATATCTTTGAACTCATGTTTTGGGTTGCTTTCTGCTGCATCTGGATAGGGTTGTTTGTGCCGTCGATCGCTGGATTCCGCTTTTGAGAAAAATGAACGCTTGCCCATAGGCACCTCTCATTTGATGTGCATTGTATTCTGCAGCTTCAGCTACAGCAACTGCGGGAGAGGCTGTCCTATTGCGGGCCACCTCGAGGTCTCTGTTGTGCGGGGACGCCCCTCTTCTTGGTCTTGGCAGCAGCCAGCGGACTCGTGGACCGCCCAGCCGCAGCTTCTCTTCTTTGCCGAAGGAGAGACTGAAGAAAACGGCCTTCACGATGAACTCTGATGGAAACGGAAGAAGTACTGAGAGCAGCGCGAAATGCGAAACAAGATGCACAGATAGCGGCACGGGAAGAAGGGCGAGCATCGGAAGGACAGAAGTAGGGCACGATAGAGCTTTGTAGGCACATTTGCAGCGCAAGGAGGCTTTGAGACTTAAAGGGTCATACTCATTAGGCCTTCATTGTCCTCTCTTAGATGCCTGCGAAGGGTTCGGTGGTTATGAGTGCCTTGTATGTCAAAACAACATTCTTTTCAACAGCATCACGAACGTAGCTGTGTTCGTTTCAGCTAAAAGTCTTACAGTGGCTGAAAGCCAGCATTCGCGACAGAAAATCACGACAATGGGCCAAGAGGGTGTTAAAACTTTCTATGGCACACATGCTACTATAAGCTACTTGATGCTTCTGGCTGCCATTTGGCTGGTCTTCCTTCTTAAGCGCAACGCGAAGCTCTCAAATCTGTGTTAAACGATTGTTACCGCCTTTTAAGGAGGAGCAGTGTCGGAAAATCTCATAGGGGATCCCAATACATGTGACGTGCCTAAATGTCCGACTGAGTACAATGAACTATTCTGTCCTGCGATAAGGGTGGGTGAAAAAGACACACTATGTATTGGCGCAACCAATAGGTCGAAGGAAACGGATTTGTGCGAGTTCTCTAGTCTTGGCCTACCTTGCGGATACAGGCCGTCGTTCTAGAAGAAACGCGTAAGGATAGAGCTAATACATGCATACGTCCTGCCTGAATGCAACCTGTGGGGCATTAGGCCTTGGTTTCTAAAGCCGTCTTCTGAGAATAAAAATCCGAAACGCAGTGTTTAGCTCCGTAATCACCAAGCACAGTGCAATACGTCAATGCAAAGGCATCGAGGACCAGTCTTAAGGAAAGTAACCGCGTGCTTAACACGTACGTAATTGAAGCCAAAACAGCTTGACAAATTGATGGATCCTCCAACGACCGTTGTGCCTGGTATCTTCAACAAAGTGTACTTCTCAAAGCAGGAGCTGCTGTGCAGCTTCCGACTTACCGCATGATGGGTGGAAATTAGGAGGCCACTAACTTTAGAAACTAGAAATATAACGTCAGTCGAAGATAGAGGCATTTCGATAACCAGGAGGTACTACTCTATGGAGCTTGCCTGCCAATGCGCACATTTGTGCTTCGGCTCTATCTCAAGCACATTCTTCAAAACTTAGCTGTGACTCTTATCGTATGCATCTGTGGACCTAGTACTACTACTACATCACCGTTTTCTGCAACACTGACGCATTCTGCAAAGGTTGTGGCCATCTCTTTGACTCGTACCCCAGAGCCTTCATGCGACCAGACTAAGACCACATGCTGCACGCGCACGACTAAGGTTTTCCTCTGTACCCAGGCCGACGCCTGGCATCTCATGTGTCTATTCGAATAAAACACGAGAGTTACCAGTAGTAGAGGTGTGGCCGACTGCCTTTCGTGGGAAATGCCCCCTGAGGAGTTTTTCGCAAGAACGCATCATGATTCGCATGATGCCACTTCCGTACAGTAGATATTTCTCCTTGCTGCAGTCTCTACCGCTCATCCTTCGAAGTACGTTTGTCAGTAGCTCGCCTCTTTTGACTTGCCATACTCCTGTATCAAATGATAGGTAGTTGCTACAGTTGGAGAAGGCTGTCTTTGAGAGTTCCACAGGGGCACTTAGTCAGAGGTCTACGGGAACGAGCTTTAGGGCCTGAAAGAACCAATAAGTGTTGCCCCAAACACAAGGGACATATGTGTTGTATGGATTCCAGGTAAGCAGAAAGTACAGGGCTCCTAATACAGCAAGAGCCTCTCCATGATGCCAATCCGCAAGCCTCTGCTGGTACGAGCACGGCCCCAGTGTCCTCAGGCTTACCCACTAGTACGGTTGAGGGGTGTCACATCTTTGGAAGAAGGGATATTGGCACCGGTGCACGACTGCATATCCAATGAGGGGGTGCTCTCACGCGGTTCCTAAAACCCTAATCCAGTTGTGCAAGAACATGTAACACACAGGCGCGGCTGCTTTACCTCTGCCCGAGACGAAAGAGATGAAGGACAGCGGAAAGGATGCAGTAATCAAAAGTGTGTTCGCCTCGACAAGTGTTCTCTCCCCCCTTCTCGCGCTTTTTCTTGTCATGAAACGAAGCTCGACAAAAGGTGGCATTTCCGTAGCCTTCTATTATCTCTAGTCATCGTAAGTATCGCCAGCAGGACGCGCTAGGGAGCGTGAACCATCATATACTTGTCGAAGGAAGATGGCACCGATTCCACAGCCACCCTCAGCTATCGCCTTGCCGCAAGACAACCCTTGTATTATTTCGGTCCCGCGCGCCCAATGTAGCAGGCAGAATGTGGGGCCGGTATTTCTAATTCATGCTGCGCTGGATCGAAAGTGCCGCTTTCTACTTGTGCTCTCAAAGCGACAAACAGAGTATCCAGGGGATGAAACTGCTTTGCCTGATGCTGCAACCGTTCAAGCCAATCAGGTGCGAAGCTTCGCATTGTGTAAGGTGCTAAAGCATGAGGCGCTCTCTTGCCTGTGAGTTCGGTGCCAGTGGGAAAAAGGGCAGCCCACATGTGCTTCACGAACGGAAAAGTATCTTATATAAGCAGCATGGCTCTACAGCGCATTAAGAAGTGGCAAGCAAAAGGGAAAGAAGACAATACATGCTGCTTCGTGTGCCAGCTTGCCCTGCAGGGAGCTCCTATAAAATGCCCATATATCGGGATCGTGCAGGAGGACAAAAATTGAACTCGCCTCTAAAAACTCTTGAAACTAATAATGAGTAATTGGGTAGTCGATCTCAATACTCCAGGAGACAAGGATCTCCAAAAAAAAAAGCTTTTGAGAGGTACTTTTAGTTGGGTGCGGGAAACCATGGTCATGCAGAAAAGAGCAAGCTTAATGCTCAACGCAGACACCTGGAGAGCTTAGCACATGTATCAGGGTTTCCATGACTCCATAAAAGCAAATAGCATGGTTCAAGTCACTCCTGCATTGCTTTCGTTGCGCAGCACAAGGAGCCTCCAAATGATGCTTGATTGGAACTTTGTAATGTTTCGTAAAATGGGCCCCCGGCGCAAACAGTAAGTGCATCCCAGCAACAAAGTCTAGTAGATCATGGAATTTTGAGGATAAAAGGCTATTAGACCCCCGCTCCACCATTGCCAAGATTTACTCTCGTGGAGGGTCAACAATCCCACACTTGACGCATTTTAAGCTGTTCATTCCATTGCTGGCTATCTTCGGATATTCGTTTGCTACGCCTTGAAAGCAGTCAATAAATTTGTTGTTTTGCGTGTGCGCACTGTGGAGCTGTCGTCGGCACGAATTATCCAGCTAATGATACCATAGTGCTGGTTCGTTATCGTACGTGCCACCAATTTTCAGTCTGCACTTGGATTTTTATCCCTTTTTTCGGGACATTTCCTATGGTGGTTGCAAATGCTCTAGACAGCAGCTTCTTCTGCCCCAAAGGCAGAAATAGTGCCGCTGTCGCCCTCAACTCTCCAGCCCAGGGATGAAAACAGGATCTTTAATGTCATTAAAATCGGTTCTCCAGCGTTCCCGTTCCGTGGAGCGTTTAATTAATTCCAGGTATGATTTATGACACCATAGTATGCTGAGCACATTTTAGCGACTTACAACAGGCTTGCTTCAATGATTCCTAAGCTATTCTTGCAAGCCGGCTCGTAGAGACTGGTGGAGGAATCAATTGATAGAATGCCAGCAACGTGAGCGACGCAGAAACGGAATATGCAAGCACTGAAGACCCTACACCACAGAGGACGATGAGGCTGGATGGAGTGGACGATTCGCAGGATTGTATCGTGATACAGTACTTTGAGAACCTAAGCAGCCTTCAATGTGGATGCAGGGTTTTCAAGGAAGCCTCTTGGGGACACTTACGGAGTTCCCCAAAAGTAAGAGAGGGAAATCAGAAAATGATTTTTATATATCTAGGTTGGAACTGGAGGAGCGCCTCACAGCTTTTTCAAGCAAGAGCAATTTGCACATGCATGGTCAGCGTGACATCCGTCCGATTTTTGTTGAAAGGGAACGCCATATGACGTTTGGCCAAAAAAATCGGCAGCAGGGTGCTTATCGCCGAAGCAAACATAAAGCTGACGAAACTGTAGCCAGTCTCATGGAATGAAGGCAAAAAAAAAACATGAACTATATTGAAAACCTCCAGATATAAACCTAGATAAGCGCAGGGTTTCAAGCAGATCAGTGACTACTATTCGGTTGTCAAATAAATGCCAATTATGACGCGTGTCGCACCCAGTGTGAGGGGTACAGTAATAGGTTCACACTGGATGATGCTTTCCTCAAGCATGAGCACCCCTAAGTCTGGCGGTAACTGTTTGCGCATCGTTGGGGCGCAACATGGGAAGAATCTTGTAGAGGAAAGCGACAAAACAGTCAACAGTTGCGGTAATCATAATGGTACAAGGCTCCGACGGGTGTGGCTGAGTGTCTGCCGCCTTGGTGGTACCGCCCCAGGTAGACGCTGCTTCAGTAGTTCCTTCCTCAGTCGTGACCTCCACCGTAGTGGCTATTTCAGTAGAGCTTGGCTCAGTGGTAACCTCCTCCGTACTTGCTTCCTCGGTAGAGGCTGGCTCAGTAATAACCTCCTCCGTGGTTGCTTCTTCGGTAGAGGCTGGCTCAGTGGTAACCTCCTCCGTAGTGGCTTCCTCGGTAGAGGCTGGCTCAGTGGTAACCTCCTCCGTGGTTGCTTCCTCGGTAGAGGCTGGCTCAGTGGTAACCTCCTCCGTGGTGGCTTCTTCGGTAGAGGCTAATTCAGTGGTAACCTCCTCCGTGGTTGCTTCTTCGGTAGAGGCTGGCTCAGTGGTAACCTCCTCCGTGGTTGCTTCCTCGGTAGAGGCTGGCTCAGTGGTAACCTCCTCCGTGGTTGCTTCCTCGGTAGAGGCTGGCTCAGTGGTAACCTCCTCCGTGGTTGCTTCCTCGGTAGAGGCTGGCTCAGTGGTAACCTCCTCCGTGGTTGCTTC